TCCAATAAAGTAGTTGATAGGACTAATGGTCACTTTGAAACTTGATTTCAAATACTTCAAAATATTGTCAATGTAATTTTGTTAGAAGGAGATAATTATTCCATTGTCAATATAAATATCAATTATTTTATAAATTTCTTAATGATTACAATAGATACAAGAATGTACTTCATTGGTAATTATTTGGAATTATTTTAAGAAAGTAGAAATATAGATGTTTCATTGTCGGGCAAATTATTTCAAATCATATATGGTCTTTTTAAGTTGTTAAAAATGCAAAGGATAATGAGGATGCTCATAACCTTGTGGTTAAAATATGTAGATTTTCTTGATTAAGTCACCATTGAAAAAGATTGTACTAATATCAAACTGCTAAAGATGCATTCTTTTAGCAACAACAATCGCAAATATAGCTCAAATGGAGTCATACTAAATGACAGGAGAATATATTTCATTAAAATCAATGCCTAATTTTTTTATGAAGCCTTTTGCAACTAATCACATCTTATATTTGTCAATATTATCAATTGGTGAATATTTGACTTTATAAATCTATTTATTGTAAATAAATTTTTTGTTAGTAGGTTTTAGTAGCAATTTCTAAGTTTGGTTTTTGAAGAAGAAATTATATTCTCAATTTGTGGGTGACTTCCATAAAGTATAATTTGAAGATATTGTTGCTTCTTCAATAGTTTGTGGTTCTTGTATGAAAGTCATATAGATTGCTAATAATATCGTGGAAGGTGAATTGGTCATTTCAAAAGATATTAATGAAGTAGAGATAGTAGAAATAAGAGGCGTAATAAGTAATAGATGATGTATAGATTTGGTTTTGGATAGAACTTGTTATCAATGTTTACAAAATAGACTTCAATATTATGATCTATAGTTGATTGCGTTAAATTTGGAGAAGATTGGACAGGTGGATATATTGGTGGAGAAGAGATCACTCATAAAGAAGTAAAGTATGAGTTGTCTCACTATGATTAGGCTCCCATTGTTTAGTTTAAAGAGTTACTCTTATTGTTGGATTTAATACAAAACTAGTTTGTTGTGGCATGGCTCTCACTATCAAAATAGAGTGTTGTATGTCTAAAGTAGATGTTGGTATGGTCTTTAGAAGATTAAGATGGCAATAAATTCCTTGTTCTATATGATTGTTGATTGGAATGTAAACATAATTATTGTAAGTGAGTTCATGAAGGAAGTATTTGGTGTATTTTTTTAAGGCTTCATTAGTCTTATAATCAAAGATTTTTATAATCTTATTAATAAAAGGATTTCAAAATTTGTATACATAGCTTGTTGTGGAATATCCTACAAAGATGGCTAAGGTACTTTTAGAATCCATCTTCATGCAATTTTTTTTATTAATAAAAATCTAGGATAAAGATCCAAAAATCTTATAGTATTGTAGAGAAGGTTTACTACCAAACCATGCTTTATAAGATATTTAATCACTGAGTTGCTTATTAATTGTGTAATTAAATAAATAAACTAAAGTATGTACTACTTTTGTCTATAGTTTTATTAGAAGTTCTTTTACATATAATAAACATTGTGCCATTTTAAAACTAATTCAATTATTTCTTTTAATATAGTTGTTTTACTATAGTATATATGTAATGTTAGTTTGTTAAATAGTATGATTATTATTTAAAAAATTATCAAAAAAGATATTATAGAACTTGTACCTTTTGTTTATACATAAAACTTGTATAGCATAACCAATGTCAGATATAACAAGTTGAACAACTTCTTTAAAGAAATGAAAGCTTTTGATTTTTTTTAGCAAAATAAATAAAGCAATATGTGGTTGCATTGTTTTTGTACTATACATAATAAAAAGTTCCATATAATAAGGATGTAGTAGCTTTCTTGCCTAATACATTGTTGTGAATAAGTTGTCTAGGATATTTATTGTAGATTTTATGTAGATCATGTTTATAGATGGTTTTTTATTGTTTGTCTTTTATGTATCTCTTACAAGGATGTAATAATGGTTGATAAAATTTAAGTTTGAAATTTAAGTTTGAAATCTTAAAGATTGTCATGCTGATTCATACAATGAATGGTAGTTACATTAACATGGCCTATTTTTTCATGCCAAAGTTGCATGTTAGAGTATAAACTTGATATAGAGAGAATAAGTGAATTTACAAATAAAACATTTGTTAATACTAGGAGTACATTGTCAATGGGTGGTGAGAATCTCAAATCTTGATTTAAATGGTACAAAGGTATGTCTTGTTTAGAAAGTTGATAAAGTTTTTTAGATCAAATTCTTTTAAGAACTTTCTTGCTTATCTTTGTTTAGATTTTAGATTAGATTAGAAACATTATAAAAAAATATATATATCTTTTTAAAATATGGCTGATAGAAAAGAGGTTCTTCTTCAATTTTAGAATGTATAAAATATTTTGGAAGATGCCATGGTATTTTTGTCCATCAATGATGCATAATATTTTAATATTACCTTTGCTACTATCATTTATTGTGATTTTCTATCTAAAAATAAACTAAATTCCTAGCCATAGAAAATTTAGCTTTAACTTATTGGCCAAGCTCCAATAAGTAATTTATTCTTATTATAAAAGATAAATAAACGTAGCAATATAAAAAGATATTCTAATAATAAAAACCTTTTATATTTAAGAAGGTTTGTATATATGGCTTTCTAATACATCTTAAAATGTTCTAACATCCTTTACTATACCAAATCATAACTAACTATTTGGTGGTAAGTTAGATTTTTCAAAAGTTCAAAGAAAATCCATAATCTCCTTTTAAAAATTCATCTTTTTACTATGATTTTGCCATAGCTCTATATCTCCATTTTTAATGGATGTAGTTAAAGTCTTGACTCCCAAAAGCTTCTTACTTTTGCATAAAATACCTAAATTATAGCAAAATCCTTTTTAAATATTTTTCTCTCGCGAAGGATTTTTTCTCTCTGAACTTTAGAATATCATATTACTTCATCCAACCATTCAATTTTTCTCAAATTTTTAAAAAATATAGAGGTTATCCTTAAACTTTATCACAAAAAAAATGAATTATAAATCTACTACAGATTGTTTGACATCTTAGAAATCCTAGCAAGTTCTCTAAATCCTAATTTACAAGCACTTGAATACTATTTTCTTTATATCTCAAAAATCCAAATTTTGAATGCCACAAAATTTAATGTATAGCTTTAAAACATAGTAATACACATTTATGAAAAAATTAGCCAAAGATTTATCCAAATGCCTAAGATATAGTAAGAATCAAATCCCTCATGAAATTGATTTACAAACAAATCTCAATTTGAAAGCACTATCTTCAAGCAGTCATTGCTCTTCTAAATCAATCCTAAAACTTTTATTTTTTGTATGAAAAATATAATTCTTTAAACCAACTTTTCAACTAAACAATCTAATCTTTAAAAACTCGTTACATGCATGCGCTATTCCTCAAAGAGTGACAATAGGTACAAAATCAACACCTTAACCTTTGAGTGTCTATATCTTCTTCATAAAAACCCCAAATCCCACAAATGTTTTACCAAAATCATATCCAAAATTTTAAATTTGATGACCCTAATCTTTGATGTTTAAATGGCATTGAAAGAATAACCTTAACTCCTAATAAGGCTTGAGACAACCTCCTTCATGAGATGTATTGAGGCTTTTAGCATCGCTCATGCCACTATGAAATCTTCTTAAGTCTTTGCTAGAGGCTCTTTTCTTTTTCAGTTTTGTACAATCAATTGACCAATGTCCAACTATAAGGCAGTTATAGCATTTGGTTTAGTGACTTAAGATCTTTGATGTAATTAATATCCTTTTGCTGTTGTTCTCTTTTATTGAAAAGGTGTGTAAATAATATATTAGATCTAAAGAATAAAACATGATCTTATTTCCATAATTGCAAATTTTTATGAGATGTATCTTTATTCAAGAAACCGAGTCCAGAAACAATTCTCTAGTGACTGAAAGATGATCACTCTCTAATTGATCTTTCTACGAACTAAACTACAATGATATGCTGGAACTCAAGATATAGGCTCTCCGAGGATCCCTGGATGGATGGATGTAGAATATCATGGATGTCTCATCCAACAAGCATAGAACTTCTTCATTACAATCGAGATGCGCTTTTGATGATAAACTAGATGGCGATTAAATTCTCAACATGCATGAGTTTTCCTGCAAGGATACGTGATTCGTTTGTTGGAGAGTAGGTGCCATCACTGGGCGTGCTGCTGTTTTGTTTCCATGCAAGGAGACTGAGTTTGTTGAGGTTGGAACGGCTGCTGCCCCACTATGTTCCTGGATGTTAATGTCGACTTGGCTGAGTTGGAAGCCAGTGTCATGCTGGTTTCCACCAAGTTCTATGTGTAGTCATGTGCTGAGGATAAGGAATAGAAACGCTTGTCTGAATTGGCCTTGATTAGTCTTTCCTCTCGTTCGATAATTCCTGATTTCTTCCAAGAACTGTTTAAGAATTGCAAGAGAAATAATCTGTCAAGGCGTGAGGGCAACAGAATTTTGTGTACCGGTTGAGGATCACTGCACTAGATAGTCGCCTGCAGGCATCAGCTTTAGTGTCTTCTCACTCAATTTTGCAGGGAAAAATGTGGAATTGCAGAACAATCAGCTGGTTAGCGCTTGCGGATTTCTCTGGTTCTTTTTATTGTCTACAGTTTATGTTTATTGCAAAAAATTCTTTGAGAGATTTGAGCATCTATACATTTAGTTGTTAAATTTGTTGTTGTTGCTCTTTGGACAGATTGTTTTGAATCAACTTGCCGTTGTAAATTCCTATGGAGAATTCCTGGTAGCTCTCTCGAAATTGTACAAGAGGCTTGTGATCGACGTTAGCGAGTTACTGACTGATATTATTCTACTTGTTGTAAAAGAATCTTGTCCATCCCAAGGATCAACATTTCTCTGTCACCACTGGGGTTTGCTATTTCAGAGAGCTTGAATGTCTATATAATTTTTTGATCGTCACATTACAGGAAAAAGTTACGGGTTATTATGATTCAACGTCTTGCTGCAGTGGAACTTCTTGAACATAAGTTATTCAAGAGTCAGCAGTTTATGGGCATGCCAGTGCCTCAAGTGAAAAGGTACTTCACTCCTTGCGGGATTGTCAATGCAGTCGCTTCATTTTCACAATTGGAGAGCGAGCATCCTCCGTTTCTCACCCACCCGCTAATGTACTTCTTGTCTGATGTTTTTCCTATCAATTTGCATGCATTTAATTATGTATTTCTCCAGTTAACCCAATCGCAAGCACATGCAACAATGAAGATGCGCGATGAAGACCCTGACCTGTTCCTTCACAGTTTGGTGGCTTGTAATTCAAGGGCTGCTCAGGGTCTGACGGGCGATCCATGCTGGCGACAGGTCAGACACATAGAACACTGAATGTCCTTTGTCCAAACTATACATGATGATTAACATCTGAATTCTAGGTGAAGGATTCATTGAACTCAGTGCCCATCCTTTCCTACGTCCACATGAAGGATCTGACTTTTGAAATGGAGACAATGAGCGACATGAATAGATCCGTTCAAAGACATGGGTGACTTACGTAACATAAGAGTAAGAATCAGAGACATGAGAGCCAGTCAGGTACGGAGAGGTTCAATCTGCTGCAGCTTCTGCTGCCGCAGGTCTTGATGAACAAATCTCAGCATCGCCAGACTTGTCTGATGCAAAGCATGATTTCTGTCAGTGGAATCATCATGGTATATGTGCAACGGAGATACACATTTGTTCTCGCTCAGTGGTAGGAAGGAGGGCTTGTTGTGAAGTAGTTTCACCTCTACCTTCTGTTTTGAATAGGATAGCTAAGAGTCCCTCTGGGGTCTGAAGGTGATTGATGCGGTCCGTTGTGATGTCAAAACAGCAACTATCGAGCTCCTTTGATTATCACTCATGCGGGACTGGTGGTTCACACCAGCCCTTTTTTTTTTTTCATCTTTTTGACAGGTGAAATTGGTCCTCTTCAGTCGATTGTGCACGTGTTGAGAGTGCAGTGAACGAAAGGCTGCACAATCATTATCTTGCTGGACTCGTGCAAGTTGAGCTCTCTGAAAGTATCCCGACCTGATCACTGAAGCAGTTCGAGACACAACCTGAAAAAGGGATCTTTGAACATGTAGAGGTATCATAAGGTAAATTACTGTCCCATTTCTTTTTAAGACAGCATTATCGTAACTTTCGCTTGGCCAATGTGAACATTTGGAAAGATAGACGTCAGCCAACTTTATCTGAAATTGTTACCGCAGGTGGGAGAAAAGAAGATTCCTACAATCCCGCGGTTTGGCTTGCCACTAACTCCACCAATAGGTTCTACTGGTCTTGATTTGTTGATAATATCCACCATATTCTTCTCAGATGCAAATAGAAACCGAATCATGCTGGTTAGGACAACTGCACTCCACGCGTGGTGTGCCATTTAGGCTTCAAAAGTTCACCACAAAGTTAAGAATGTGAGTTTAGTGTACACTGTTCATCGCTTCATGTTCGACAAATCCAACATTCAGCGCAATCATACAGAGATTCGACAGTTATTGGGTGCACGTCTCGCGTCCTGGTGATGGCACACTCCTGCTGCTTCCACGTGTGAGATCACTAGTGTTTCTGAGTTGCATGCGCGGAAGTTGAGGGCAACTGTGCACCACTGAGCAGCTCCATCTTGTAAGGAATTTCCGTCAGCAAAATCAATTGGGATTTCCACCCACCATTCATGGAGGTCTTTGCGTCTCCCATTGTATTGACAACGCATTGTGGGAGTTTTGAGCCATCTCTCGGCACTATAAGGAGGCATGTCTGATGACCTGTATCGTGATCAAAGCCAGCTAAATCTACTGCACTGCAAAGCAAGTACGCTTTGGGCAGCGGTTATGAGTAAGCTGTGGAGCACAGCATAGGCGCGCGACCAAGGAACCTACCACACTCGTGTAACCATATCTCATCTCTTGTGAGTACTGGCATGGAATCACGTGATCAAGGGCAAAGACCTAGTGATGTGGCCACTGTTGTCACAATCTCTCTTTCGATCTTCCAGCAATAGCCGTAACCCTGAGCCAACACAGCACAGATACTTGGGCAAGGCAATGAAGATGGGGAGCCATGGTGATGTACATCCATTCCTAAGCTAGGACCTGCTTCTCCACAACTCTACCACGAGGGCCTTATATGAGCTCAGGGTTAGTGGCTTTTCTGCCAAAGTTGGGTTTTATTGTCTTCTGACAGCCATATCATTATCTGAACGACACTTGCTGTGTCACTTGATTGCCAAATCTTGTACAACACACCACTCTGTGGGTCGCCTTACTTCCAGCTTCCGAAAAGATCACACCTCGAACCGTTTGCGCTCGACTTCGCTCCACTGGAAACTCCGATTACCCACGTCCTAGGAACTGGAGCCATTTCAGTTATCTGTATGCAACCCTCGGTGGGCAAGATTTGCAGAATTCACCATCTCATACGCATAGCACTGAACTTCACATCCTAACCGCACTCAAAAGAATTTTCCTATATGCTTGACACTATTATCTCTTCTAGGATTTCCCGTTGTCTAGTCCACATATCATGCACCATAACGTCAGTTCCGTGGGGATAACGCTTCGAAACCCACTCAAGGCAACCTGCAGTGACAAGACCGATTAAATCAACTCCCAACTTTTATGTCCGGGTCTACAGCACCACCCATTACGCCTGTTGAAGAGGAAGTAGGAGACGAACTAGCACCACCACCACCACCACTAACACCACCAACCAGCAGAGAAATCAGTTCCCTGGTCTCTGAGTTTAACTGGCACAGCGCACGATTTGCACGGCGTGGGGCAGCCAGATCGTAAGAGCCATGACACAACTCGTGGAGGCTTAGCTTGTCTGATCCCGAACAAAGCAGATCGTCCTCAGTTTCAGCTGCCATTGTGCACCCAAACTTGCTTTTGGATGCCTACAAACCATGTTTCCACTGATATGGTCCTACAACCATATGGACAATGCATTGTGTTCACTCACAGAACTACATCTATACTCTGAAAACCCTGGAAAAGTTTGACTTAAGAAAACTCACCTCTTAGTTGCACTTCGTGATGCATGTTCCATACATGAGGGCAATGTTATCTATTCCTCAAGTGAAGGCATATATTGCAATGTATTTATGTGTTAATTGATAGTGGAAGTGTTGGTGGAACATTGCTTAGTGAGTTGCAACTGTATCAGTTTTTTTTAATATGAGTCTCAAACAACTAATTAATATATGTGTAGTGTGAAAATAAGTCCAAAATATGGTTGGATTTATGTATATATATAATGGCAACACAAAGATTTGTATTCTACTAGGATGTGTGTAGAATAAGTAGTTATTTTCAAAATATAGATACCTAGTGTATAGTGTAAACAGGGATAGATAACTGCTGAAAAGGTGGTTCAGCAGGTAGAATGGATGAATAGTCAGAAAAAGTAGTTATCATCTGTAGTATAGGAGTTGGTATCTCGGGGTAGTATAAGGAGGATGGGAGAGGGGAAGAAAATGCCAAACTGCGATAATACTGAGTCGAGGATAAGCTTGGTGCTATCTCTTCTTCTTAGTTTTCTTGTTTCTTTTGTGTTAGTGTTGATTCTAGTGAAGAGAATCGATTTAATGAATTAATGTTTGATTTACGAAGTTGTTTATGGATCACTATTTATCAATTGTTGTGAAAGATTGAGGACGTATGGAAGTTTTCAGTCACTGTTTATCGCAAGGTTGTAAGTTTAGTGGAGAGGAATTGTAATTGAAGGAATTGTCTTGATTAGATTCTATGGATTGGAAGTTGTTCGTTCCAGGGTTTGGGATATGCTTGTGTGTTTGTGAATTACACAGGGTATTGAAATTGTTATCGTGGATGTTATTGTATTGATATGAGAGAGTGGACAGTAGGAGGAAAAGTTAAGTGTTTTTCGGTATGATAAGCATTCAGCAGTAGCAGTTAATTGTGTGATCCTAACAATTGGAGCTCATATACATGGTCATTCTCTGTGTTCGAATCCCCCTATACGGGTTTATTCTGGGAGGTTTCTTCCGGAATAAGTAAAACGAGTAATCACAATGTGTCATATCATTATATTGTTACAAAATATATATATATATATATATAATTTTTTTTTTTATAGAACCAAAAAAATCATAATATAGAATGCAAATTGAGAATATTATCTTATCAAATAATAATAAAAAAAAAAAAAATAGCACATTGAGGGGTTTTTAGAGCTAGATTGAAAGATATTAACAAGTTATAAACAAAATTCATCATATTACATTACATAATACAAATGTATTATGAAATGATTATGTATATTACAAAAGATATTTGCAAGTGCCTACAAAATAATATGTATGATACATAGCAAGCTTCAAGTGTATGAATCAGATGTTAACATTCAATTTTTAACAAATTATAATCTTTAGTCTTTTTTAGTTTTTTTCCATATTAAAAAATATCATTTAAATAAAGATTTGTATTATCATATTATATTTAAAGGGTTTTAACTATTGTCCATTTAATTCTAATGTTTCCACGGAACCATAAATATAAGTAAAATCTAAGAACTACACCTAGTTTTTAAAATAATTTGATGAAATTAATGTTAATAATAATTGTGTTAAATAATGATACCAAAAAATTAAAAAAAAAAAAAAAAAAAAAAAAAACTAAATGATTTGTATTGATATATGCCTATATGACTCTATATGGATGTATTCTTAAAAATTAGCAATTATTTGAGATATCAAGATTATATAATAACTTTGAAAAAACCAAATTTTTAGAAGTACATAATCTTTTACTAGTAGTTAATATTTTATTTTTAAAAATAATTTAATTATTTAATAAGTATATGAAAGATTACTATATACATTGATAACAAGTTTTGTGGACACTTTTGCATAGTTTATATTATATCAATAAAAATTTGGAAATCATAACATAATTTTTAAAACTGTTATAAAAAATTAATCAGTGGAAAATCAATGTTACTAAGTGCATTAAAATTAGAAATGTTACAATGTTATTTCAAACTTTTAAATAAAATTACACCTAGTTTGATTGAAATAATATAACAAACAATAGTTAATGAAATTCTTGCAATCAGTTGGGTATTAATTTGCATGACTCACCAAAAAAATATGAATCTAAACAATAAATACTAAAGCACAAAAAATAGCATAGCATGCTTGTTACTCTTTGCATGAAAATGAGAGATAGAATGGATGAGTACAAAGATATTTTATTAGACGAGCAAGAGTGTAAAGATAGTTTATAAGTCGAAGATATTTTATCAGAGAATGGACAAGTAAAAAGATATTTTATAAGACAACCATGAGTGTGTAGCATGTCAAGCATGTTTTGTTTTTATTATTATTATTGTCATTGAAACATTTAAAACATATTACGTGCGTATGTATGTATATATATATATATATATATATATATAATACTTTATTATGCAAAAGAAGCAGGCGTTAGGCGGTGAATGAGAGGCGGTGGCCCTCCGCATCCGCAGCGTCCGATCCGTGATCCCCACTAGAATGTGAATCAAGGACGGCGCGACGGGCATCCAGCGGAGTCGCACGCTTACCGCGGTGGTCCTCGACGCCATGCCTGCAATGGAAAACGGAATCAATTGATATCGAGGATGAGGACCCAATGATGTGGTTTTTGTTGTTGTTGTTGTTGTAGTCACAGGGGCAGCTGCAGGTTCTAGTGTGACAGCTTTTGCGTCGATCCTGCAGTTTCTGTGAGTTTTTGTGTTGCTACAGATCGTCTTTGAAACTGTTGAGGCTACTGAAGCGACTGGTTTTTGTCGCTAGAGGGACGTGAGCTCCAAGGGTCCATGAATAAACTGCGCGGCAGCGTCAGGAGATGTGCAAACCGGGATCTCAGGTGCAGATTTTGAATTGGAAGATTTGGCCCGGGTGCCACGCTGCTAGATTCGCAACACGAGTCTGGAAATACATCTGAGAGGAAATCACCTCGTCTTAAAATATGAAAACCAACTTGGGTATCCATAAAAGAAAGCAATCGGTGTAGCAGGGTGGGCGGCTTCCGAGTGAAATTTGGAAGAAGTCCTGGGGAATCACGTGGGATCCACGTGGGCACAGGATCGTAGAATCCGGAGGGCACCTCGCATTGAAGGATCCGCTAGTAACTACGTGCCGTATAAGCGACTCGTTATCAATAGATCTGTTTGCGACAATAACACAAACTTACGCATCAGGCCTCCGTCCAAAATTTCCCTTTAGTCAGATTCTGTGGAACAAACATATTTCTGTATCTAAGGCGGAAATCATTCAATGCTGTCAACATGCTGGTGTTGGGTTATGACGTTGAATTTGTTTGTCTCTTTTTCCTTCCTCGATATCGTCGTCCATAATGAGCTTAACTTCATCAACAGGTCTAATTTCTAGATGGAACAACACTAAGCCCTAGAGATTGCAAAGTTGACGTTTTATCTCCCTTTCCGTCGTTGTCCAGGATCCGTTGTGCATGGCTGTTGATTGAGCATTGCACCTGACAATAGTATCTTTGCCTGACCAGAAATGGCTATCATTTAATATAATTGTTGCCATGGAGGAATGGTGTGTATGAACTAGCACCTTGTTATCTCAAAAGTAACCATTGCAGAACTTCACCTGTTGATCTAGACTAAAGTGCATCTTCAGTTCGTTCCGATATTCATTCTGATGTAATGATCGAGCACATGATGATTTAATGATTTGAGCTTTCAATCGAGACTTAGGGTTCAGGAATTCTTTACGCAGTGAGTGTTCCATTATACCAGATCCTTGAATGATCATGAGCAAAATCTAAGCTCCAATAGGTGGTTAGTTTAATGGTCCTGTAGGAGCAAAAGTTTGAAGGCAATCAATTGCTGACCTTACATTGGTTGTCGCTTCTGAGGAGACTAGTGCCAGTAGACTTTGGAGAATGGGGGATTTTAATGTCGGTGGTGACGCAATTGGTCTGGAGTCAGTTGAGCGATAGAGTAGGCCCGCAGTCCAAGGTGCAGATAAATTAATAGCGCACATCATGTTGTACTCGGCTTCTTAAGCTTCAACCAGTGGCAGCGATTGCATCGTGCTCTTCCAGGTTCATGATCAAGTAGTACGAACTTTTGTGAGGTGTCGGATTACTGTTGTGTCATTGATCGTAGATTCTAGAGTCTGATGAATGGAGTGTTTGATACTCTGAGCTTGTGTTGATGTCTAGTGTCCTCCAGGTAGTATCTTGGAGACAGGATAATGTAGCCAGCTTGTGGAGGCAGTGACCACAGTCGTAGCCACCGAGGCGCTCCTCAAATGAGCTTTAGCGATGATGAAGCTCATGCGTTGGTACCACTGTCGACCCAACCCTTGTCTTGCCTTGGTAATGTTCTTGTAGGAGTTTGTCATGGAAAGTTGCAGTCATTCGAGAAAGAGCGTTAGCTTGTTTTCTACAAGCAATTTTTGGGACGACCACAAGTGGCCCAAGTGAGCTAGGGTTTAGTTGGATCCTGTAGAAATTCACACCGATTAGAATATACGGGAACCTTATGTGAAATTCCCTCATTGAATACAAAACTCACCGATTCCCTTTAACACTCTAGGTTTTCGAGAGTAGATGTACTTTTTACAGTTTGTGCTAGAGATATGAAGGATTTTTGCAGGTTTTATAGTAGATTGAGGTAGAACGTGACAACATCGGAAATCCGGAAGGCTGAAGGTACCACAGCGGATAGATGTTTAATGCAATTAGTTTGAATCGTTGTAACCGGCTCAGCTGGTAAGTCATCATTTGAGATGCAAGAAGCAGTAAATTAGAGTCGTAGGCCTTAGCGAAGATGAACTACACAGTACTGGACGTCCAAGTTTCCCTTCATGAAATTATGCACTAATTCCTCTCTATCTGCCTAAGTGAACGAGCAGTAGTGGCGATATGTCAGTTTTTTTATGGTTTATTTGTGAAGGACACCAAGGTTCCGTTGAACTTATGTTTTTCTTGCTGAGCCTTCAGATAGCTATATTTTAGCATGTATTGCTGATACAGACCCTACCAGTTGATAATCATTCTACACACAGTTGACATCTTCCAATCTGTCTGATAGGGAAAGGGATCTGGTAAGCAAAAAATTGGTGAGGTTGAACCGGAGTTGGCGATTACAGGTAGTAGTAGCTCGAAGCTTCTAGTCACCGTTGACAGCTTCGGCGCGGTAAATGTTCTCACCCCGGACAAGTTTGGTGCACTACGAGAGCCGGAAGGTGAAAGGCCAAATGCCTGCTTTGATGTTCAAAACAAAGTAGAGTCCAGTACCAGATCTTCCAATCCATTTGAACATTACGCTCGAGGTAGCAAGTATTCTCAAGCGTGTCCTGAAGCGACGGGTTCTACAAATGATTCTACATGGACCAAGTACATGGAAGTCTTTGAAGACAAAGGAACAGGCGTTCTCAGCAGTAAGGAAACTGGTGCTCAAAACCCTGGATTGCAGTCTTCAACTCCTATCTTTTCCACTCTTCACGAGAGGACATCAACAAGAAGTGGTGGTGGACCACGAGTGCGACGTTTCTGCTCACCAACTGAATATGTGAGTGTTTTCAAAACTTTACGCCTAACAGAGGGTCAGAATTCCGGATACCGTGTACAAATTGCTCAAAAGAATGTATGCAAGCACAGACTGTGGGAGAATGTAAAACAATTAAATTAGAGAACCTGGTGTTAAAAAACAACTTATGGTAGTTGGATGTCTCAAGGGACATGGTAGAGCATTGCTATGCAAGCCCTGGTAAAACCGCCGGCGTGGCCGTCCAGTTTTATCGCGAGAAGCTGATAAATGTCACAACACCAGTCGTTAGAGAACCAAGTCGCCGAGCTTCAGTTATTGAAAGATATGAGTTTCAAACGACGTTATGGATGAATCATCCAGTGTGAGCATCCCGGTTTCCGAATATAGCTCCAAGTTTATGTAGTTTCATATTCTCAAGTTTTCATTAGGGCCCAAACTTGGTTTCTTAACTTAAATGTAGTGATTTCGCAAAAGGCTCGGCCTGCATTCTTGTGTAGCATTACAAATCGAGAAGAATGAAGGCGGTTGCTTTGGCTGAATTAGAAGATTTATACATATGATTTGTAACTCATGCAGACTGGTATTTGTTTTGCGTATCTCCTTGATATCTTCGAACTTTGTAATCGTGACCAATATGAATGATTTGGGCTTGTAATGTAGCAGTTCTGACTGCAGCAGCTTTCTCCAAGGTTTTTACTCGGGATTGTTTATAGCTGATTATTACGCTGGAGATGTAGCAATCGGGCTGGTGCAGCAGAAAGGTTTTGACTGTCACTGGAGGGTACCAAAATTTAGCTGCGTCACTGTTCAAATGATAGTGAAATACTCCACCTTTGTTCCTTCGGGAACATGGACCACTCTTGTAGAACAACTAGCTGACATTCACATTTTTGTTGCGTCGGAAACCAACTGATTTAATTGTGATTTTCAATTCTGGTCCACCATAGGTTGTGGGTGAAACGCTCAAACAGCAAGGATTCTCTAGAAAAGATCTCGTCGTAGCAGATCATAATGTGTCCCAGCCAGTTGCTGAAGATAGATCATTACCTACAGCTCACTCCAGGTGCTCCCAAGCTCCCATCATTGTAACACCGACGCGTACTCCAACTGTGGGTTACAGTTTTGAAAGAACTTTACTGGTACAGGGCTCATCTCATTCGTCACTGCCGAACGAACAAATTTCGCTGGAGGTTCTCCCAAGGTTTCCGCTCATGGTTCCCGGAAGCTCGGGCGATGCAAGGCATTCTCGAGAGTCGACTGACCAGTATCCCCGGAGAATAGAGTACAAATTTGCTTCTGCAAGTCTGGAAGCGTCCTTACTTCAGTATATGGAAGAAAGAGAAAGAAAACAGGTAGAACGAGGCCTTCAACCTTGACAGATAACTAGCAACGTGTTCAAATTTTATGTTGTGAGTCAATGCCTATCAATTTGAGTGCTAACCGAGAATGCCGCTGCCATCAGATCAATGAAGCATATGAAGAGAACCGAATGCGCGGGTATGTCACATCACCGGAGGTTGGTACCGCGGCATCCACTACAACCTATTTCTAATGTATCAAGTCGGTTCAGTCCTGGAGGTCTATGTGCATTGTTTAACGTTGTGTTCTAGGCAAAGTGCTAGTGCAGCTGATTGGTTCGGTGAGCAAACTAACTATGATTATCTGGTGTGGTTTCCCTCGTTTTTGTAATTGTGCGAAGGATTTGATATGGGGAAGTGTAAAGCATTACTGCGGAATAGTACTAGACAGAGAAACCAGAACTCTTCTCGGCACTGCCGTGCTTTTTGTACCTCCTGATCCTTCAATGTCAGGATGTTCCACATTTTTCAAGTCTGCGTGGGTTACTTGCGTGAAAGTGGTGGAAGGTCGCACAGAGGTTCTTATCAAGACTAGCAAGGGAGGTATCCATGTGGCGCAGCTCATGCTTACCAGCACAACCCTGGGATTAGCCCTTTTCAGCGTTCATGTTTGGCAGGGAACATTTGCACTAGCCTTCCTCAGCAGAGTGACTGGGCCAGCAAGTCTTCCACACCGACTGTTTGTGGATGTAGCGCGTAATGACCGAGTTTATGTCATCGGGTAACTATTCCGCTGCACTTCGAAGTTTCTTCATGGTTTACCGTTGTCATTAATATCAGGTTGTTATCATTAACTGAACCGTGTCTCTTAAAGTTCAGACCTGCCGAATATATAGATATGCACATTTGCTAAAGCTGCTGCACATGATTAGGCACGCCCTTTCAAAAAACTCGTGAGAATGACAATTCAAGTTACTGCAGATATGAGGAGCCTTTGGGATCTGAGACCGGACTCCTCGCAGATGTGAGAGTCCGATCGGGAAGAGTAATAGATGCTGGGAGGCATGCAATTGTTGAAATTGACTTCGAAACCGGTCGATTGGGTGGTTCCATCAATATTGCAGCAGGGTTTCGAGGCGGGCTGGTTGTTCGAGCGGATGGATTGCTGGCAGGGTTGGTGACTGGTGAGATCTTGGGCGGTCACCCAACTAATATTGATTTTTCTTATGCCATTAATATCTACTCCCTTCTTGCGGAGCTCTAAGTAGTACCACCCCAATAGTGGCGAATGCCATTAATTTGTGGATGGCTTCGTTCTTACAAATTCTGAGAAACACTTATATGTAGTCTGAAGCAAGTGCGGCTCCACAGAAAAGCTTGTTGAGGACTCGGTGCTCGTCTATGAGAATTCTCTGGATAATGCTAGTCTGAGTCAGTATCTACTTCAGAAGTAAGATAATATCCCAGAATTTTGTACTTACCATCAGGTATTTATTACCTGGTAAAACAATTTTTGTCACAAAGTGCAAAATATCTACTTCGACCCTGATTCATAATTTTCCAGTTGAACAGTGATGTGAAAGTAACGTTCAAGTATTACATAACAGTGAAAATACCAGCTGAAAGCTCGTGTAAAAATAGAACCAACTAGAATAATGAACGCGGTATTGGCAATTAAACCGTCCACAATGTCGTCAGATACAGTCTAGCCATTTGAAAATTAATGTTCCATAAAAGACAATTTGCACTGAATCGGTTCTTCCGTGAACCAGAACTTCTGTAAACCCCGTCTATTTCGTAAATTTCAACATCTGTACCAACCTCCACAGCCTCTCATATCTAGCGCACAGTGACCCAAGCAAGTCAGGAGCGTGTACATCAGGCACATTATTAACGTTGGCGTGCTAGAATTTTTGAAGCAACTGGTACATTCAAAATGAGGAAAAGAAGAATGAAAACCTCTCTGCTCTGAACAAAATTTACAATTTCACATAAACCAGAGCATGAATGGTCAGGCAGAAAATCAACTAGAACATGCAACAGAGAGTAAAACATGCCGTAAAAAGCGTGGAATAGTCCAAACTAATAAGTTGTGACAGAACGATACTGCTAATGTGTAATATTTTTTGTTCACAAAAGAGACTTTCCCTTTATCATTGGACAGAAATTAGCTTATAAACTGAAAAATATCAATTAGCAGTGAAAATAATCACAATACCAATCATCTTCATCCCAATCTAAATATGGCAATGTCTAGCGTTCGAAGAAGATACTTTTCTCAAAGTTAAAGATCTCCATTCGACAAAAGCTAAATTGAAAAGTGATACAAACTTAACTACAAAAGTTGTCGCAAAGACGAAGAAATGTTTTCACATTATCAATTGTGTGAATAAAAATTGTGCTGCTGCACATAAAATGTTTTCATTCAATCACACGAATGAAACAACAGACCCAAAACAAATTAGCAATATTTAGTGAAAAATTACGGTCGCAAAGGTCAGAATGTTGCGATTTGTAAATAACTGCAACTTACATGATCGAAATAACTTTATCTGTCTCAACCGATACCAGGCGTTACACGTAACAATATACTACGTCATCTACATCCTCGAAAGTCTCTACAGAGTTTTTCAGAAAACATCATACAGAGGTGTGATAAAATCTCTGTGATATGCAGTGAATCACGATGGTTCGCTCTTCCTCATTCGAAGACAACCATGAACTAACCACTATTGTGACAAACTCATGCGTGTACAATTGAAAAACCGTGCGCAGTTCTACATTCTACGTTAGTATAATACAGGAGCGTTTCGCAAAATTCGAGAGTCTCTGAATTACAGGGGTCTGTTTTCTGTTGGTGACCTTAAAAGTTTCTCAGTGTGTCACAGAGTCCAGCTTCATGTAAGGTCACAATATGATTGTAGATTTCAAGAGACGAAATTCCCCTCATTCAGCCCTCTCGTAACGCCTCAAAAACCTTCGGTTAGTGCATGTACTCTGCCTTGAAGTGGCGCAGGAATGTTCTCGATTGCCTTGCAGATGTCCTGCAACAGAAAAAACACAAGAAGCAGAATGTCATGAGTCAGGATAATTAAGCTCTGTAGTCCTTGATAGTCCCAAAATTTATGACGTATGATAAGACTATATGCTGTAAATCTTCATGTACACATCCATAAAGTATACGTAAAATTCATTACAGCCATAGCATGTATCCAAGCAAACTGACTGACTTATGCTATTTTTAGGCCATTTGTCTGATTTATAAAGGGATATGAATACCTCTTGTTGATAGCGAGCAGAGAAGTGAATGAAAAGAATGTCCTTGTTCTTGAATTTATCCGCGTGGGCCAGAACCTTCACACATGAACACCACGTTCATAAATAAATGGGAATGACTGAAGAAAACTATCGACGTCATCCTTTCTATACAAAATTTATCCTCTGAAGGGAATCTTCTTCTTATTCTTTTATATTATTTTTTTCGTTTAAATTTTGTTGCACTCAATCAACGACGTACGCCCAACCTGCTTGCAATCCAAGATGAAAGCTGAAAACCATATTACGAATGTGCTACTCACAATCTGTAACATTAGAAAAAAAATACTCATGGAAATTTCAAATATTTAGAAACCAAGGGCAACAGGCAAAATACCTCGAACAAGTGCATATGACCGTACTTGTTGGCATCCTCAACGGAAGTAGAATCATCCAAGAATGTAGACTATAACCACACAATCGATACAAAACATAGGACGGTCAAAATTAGCCAAATAATCAGTGCAATCCTCTGCAAGGCATTGGTGTACACTTCTTTAAATCTCGAGAGCAATTTTTAGTTCCTTTTTCGGAGAAAAACATAAACGTTTGCTCTATAAGGAATATAAACAGTTCAAGGAATGGAAGTAAGCAATGGTAAAGCCAGACCTCTAATAGTTCTCTTCCCTGACATGGGCAGGTTTACCGGGAGAGGAACCTACCTCCATGATTAGGAGTTTCGCATGAAGTACATCTTCGTTAGCTTCGTCCAGAAAAAAACCCGATGTCGTATCGCCCGTAAATGCAACCTCAGAAATTCGAACGGTTTCAGAAACCTATCCAAGGAGGTGCTATTTAGTGATCAGTGATGAGAACAGAATTAAAATTCAGTAATTTGAGACGAAATAATGGATTGTGTAATGAAAGGAAGTGGAAGAATAATGCACCTCAACGCCTGATTCTCTTAAAGCTTTGATCTCCTTCCCAGGAAGCCCAACATGTTCAGCCTTTAGCTTTTGCTTGACTGTGTAGATAACATAACCCTGCCAAACCACAGGAACTTGTCAGGTTGGCATCGCAATGCACGACCTTTTAAAACAGATTAAACAAGGAATTACTCTCAAAACTGGAACTGACATTATTTCACTTTGGGAACAGGCATTACTTCATGAAAATCTAGTGTCTTTAAGGATCATGCACCTGGCTAGGGACCACATGGTAAGTCTTGAAAGCCTTAACAATCAAGCCCTTACCCAGATCGAACTCCTCCCCAATCTACAAGTTGTCACAGGAAACCCATCATGCCCTTATGTCAATTCTCCGCAATCGCAACACCTTGTACGAAAGACATCTTTCTGATTCATGAGCGTCAAAGTCAGGTACACTTACGTCCATCCCAATAAGATTAACAGGCAATGGAGATTCATCGAGCTCCCTCTGAACTGCTAAGAGTTTCTCAACGGTGGCCTTGATACACTTGGGCACAATCACTGTCGGCACCTTCTTCTTCTTCAGCCCTCGAGATGCAATGTACATGGTAAGTCCCCCCTACCAAGCACACCCCACCATGTCAGCATGTTTTTAGTCAAGGATACCTTATGGCATTGCTGAAATTAAGCTAATTCCCCAGCACAAGTTGGAATATAGGAGTCACAAAATCTAACCGAAAATAGAGCATTGAGTAACTTCGTTTTGCAGTTATATTGAACAGCAAGGCGCCATTGTACAGAAAAAAGTACGTACAATGTGATCCATGTGCGCGTGAGTAATAAAGACATAGTCCATATCGATGATACGTCCAGGGCATCGACCGCTATCGAATGCAACTTTCAACGCTGGAAGCATCACGCAGGTCTCTTGGCCTCCCACAGACACTCCTTCGATGGAGAAGCCACCCACCTCCAGCTCTCCGGTCGTGGGCCTCCCGAGCTTTGTTTGCCCATAGCCAGGTCCAGGTGCTACTTTTTTGCGAACTGAGACATTCGCAAATCATAAAAAGAAAACACCTTCAACCCTTGAGTAAGAAAAGCCATGAAGAGCTTAGGAAGCTGGAAAACCCGCTTAGACTGTTGTAGCTTAAATAACTACCCAGAAAGAGTTGGGATTTCTCGACACGCTGTAGCAACAGTGGACGTTTCCAAATACAACTTTAAAAAAAAGGTAGAAAAAGAAAAAAGCGTTGCCACTGAGATCCGTATCGAATATCATTGGTTGACGTTCTTTATCCGCAATCCGACGCAACGCAAGGCTCTGGATCACAACCAGCACTGAGATCTAAACACTGAACAACTTTTGCAGAGAATCTACCCAGAATTCACTATCACAACGAAACCATGGCTCTGATAGAAAGTTCGAAGTAACCAAACCACGCTGAAAGTCATAAGAATTCGTGAATTCCCAGTAAAACGCTCTCTGAGCAAACAACCCAGCCTGTCGCAAGCATATGCAAGAAAACTAAAACTAAAAAAAATAAAACGAATGAATACCTTGAGAATTGAGAATTGAACTCATGTAAACCTCCAAGGAAAAGCTCATGGAACAAAGAATTTACGACTCTGTAACACAGCGCTCCAAACAAAAACTACCACAATCACAACCCGCCCTGCAGAGTGAGAAAAGCGCAAGCCCAGGAATGAAAAAACATCGCAAAGTAGCGCAAGGCCAAGTAACAACTAACCGGGCTTGTCCTGGGGAGCTAAAAGGAACGAAGACGAAGAGACACGACACCCCACAGCGAATGTCACGTCGCTGTCAGGCTCAGTCTCAACCTGCACAGTGGCAATGGAGGCCATCGCCGCCACTCCCTCCGTGCTCGCGCGGGGAGCGAAACGATCCACCGCCCCGCAACCAGTCACCCCTCCCCCTCCTCCTCCTCCTCTTCCCTGGAACTGCAACCGTCGGCCGAAGCAACACACGCTGGCGCAATTCGGGACGAATTCTCGCGCTGCGATCCGCGCGAGAGAGCACACCCTAACGTGCGACGTCATGTGCGAGCTGAGAGCTGCGCAGACTACAGTGGCGGTGCGCCATTGCGGGAGTGAGTGCATTTCGAATGGCTAGTGTCGGACACGAGAGCAGCTAACTCGCTGTAAGAATGGTGCGGCGCGACAATGGCAAGCCAGCTCCAGGGCCCCCAACGAACCCAGACTCCGACGACGACGACACTGATAGATGGGGCGTGGTCTTAGGCCCTGCTTCTATGTGATCTTGCCTCCGTGTCTCGGTCGTAGGGTGGGTCATCGCGGGCTGGGCCCGGGTGGTGGGTCATACCGGGTCCAGTGGTGACGTCATTATCCCGCGGGATTCGGGTGTTTATTGATAATATACATTATTTAGTGTGGAACGCCCCCCTTTAATTAGATGCAGATGGTATTAATGGGAATGCTTTGCGGTTAACCCATCGCTTTCTTTAATGCGTTATTGATTAGACATAGTTAAGCAAATGTTTGAGTTGTGTGTATTTAGTTTTGATGAGTCATGGTCTTGTTGAAGTTGTGGTCTGCTTGAGGAATGTACAATTTTAATCTTGTTCATATACACATTTTTTGGGTGAAAAATTTAGAAAATAGAAAAGATTGGTACTTTTTACTATGACATTTCTGAAAGTTGAATTTGGTGTTTTTTGTTTTAAATAAAATTGATGAACAGCAAGCTTTCTTATATATTTTTTTTAAATCAAAATGGTAAAATAATCCACAGTATTTTACGCCTTTTAATAAAAATAAATAAAATATGATATCAAAAAAAATAGTTGTATTTTGAACACACTACAGTAAAAACAGTTTTACTTGATCTATAATGCAAGACAAGCTATCTACACATGAAAACATCATTTGTATGATGTAATTTAAGACTAGTGTAATGAAAATATTTGAATCCTTAAGCTGGTGTGAATTTTGTATTGTAAGAAAACACTTTTAAGATATTATTATTGAATCAGCATACCATTTTTCAATAAATGTCAATAAATGAGCTAATTAGAGTATGTATTTATTTGTCTTCAACAAAATCGAATCTATTTTTTAGAAAACTTTAAATTTTAATTTTATTCTGGTTTATTTTTTTAAGATTTTAAAATTAATACATTGGGTAAAATTTGTCTCACATAATAATGCATGTTAAAAAAGAGAAACTTCACTTGGCATAGAAAAACTTTTAATCAAGTTATAAAAAACATATTGAACACATTAACACAAGTTTATTGTTTGTCACTACAATAGTTTTTAATATTTTAATCTCATTGCAAATTGTTATTATGTGCAACAATCTCAAAAATCTCTTCTACTACTATCACCAATCAGATCTAATTGTTATATAAAATACAAAATATGTAAGATATAATCTTGCTAAACAAACATAAGAACATTCATTCAATTCCATCAATACACAAATAAATAAATAAACAAATGCAAAAAAGTGAGAGTTTCAGCAAACTTTCTACAAAAACCAAAATCAATGCATCATTAGGGTGTGTAAAAAAAAAACCATTGTGGTGTATGCCATCGCTTGCAGTTAAGGAACTTACACTTCTTGGTTTAAAACTTGAACAAACATCAAGTAAATATCCAAGTGTGAATGAGCGGTCTTAGGTGATCCCAAAGGTGGAGCATAGCGCGCCCAAATGCGAGAAAGAACGAGTGCCCAGATCTCACGGTAATAGCTTCACGTGCCCTAAAACCGCATCCTCCGAAGCCACCCCCTAACTCATACGAAGCTCGCCACGCCGTTGCCAAGTGGTGGGTGGAGCGTCGGTGCGATCCACTAGCGACCATTTTTCCACTTTACATGATCCTTCGAAGCAGACTGCGCTGCACTTATGTGGTCTTGAATTGGCCCTTCCACTGACTGCTGTGAAGAAATCGCTTCTACAGAGCTTCTAAACGCTGTTTTCGACGTATTTTGCTTTCTCAATTGGAGGTTTGTTGTTTTGTGGGTTATATATATGAGGCCGAGAATTTTGAGGGTTTGTGTTGATGCGCTTGTGTTGGAATTGGGGATTTGAGAAAGCCTGCATGCAGTGTATTTCGCCGGAGTTGAAAAAATTCGGGTCGTAGGGGTGTGTGTTGGCAGCCTGGGGAGTTTTTAGGGTTTTTTTTTTTTTTTTTTTTTTTTTTTTTTTTGGTGGGATGATTAGCGCTGCCGGGGTCGCAAGCAGGTCACTGGTTTTCTGGAGTGGAGATCAGGTTCGAGAGGTGACCCGTGTGTCTCAGCTTTCAAGGTTTGTTGTTTCCAACGGTAGGACACAAAACGTTGATCGAGGCAAGTTAGGGAGAACGGTTCTTATCGCCAGCATGTCGGATGCTTCACAGAGCACTGCATCTCAGATAAAAGCAGTATGTTCACCTTCCTTTCGGATTGCTTTACTGTTCTGAGCTCTTTTAGGCCTTTAGGAAGTTGATACACTTTTTCCAATTCTAGAATTCTCTCCGGGTGTAATTTTAAGAGTTCGGTCGTTGTTTCTGCATGCTTGGAGAATGTCTGCAAAATAAAGATCAAAGCATGCTCTACGTTTCATGCAAAGTGGAATGTTACTGTCAGTCGCCTTGAATGAATTTCGTGTGATCAATTTAGAAAACCACAATCAGCTTACACACAACAGCCTGGAGACTGTCATGTTTGAACATTGTTGATCCTCTTAAGAAGCTTAAGCTTTTGTTTTCAGATAATATGGTTTGTGATGTATCTGGTTGCACAGTTTTGAAGTTCTTGTTATCGACTTGTATACTAGCAGTGGCCACCTTCTCATGCCTGGTTTGATAGTGTATTTGTTTGGTCTTCCATCGTGCTGGTTGAACAACAATTTTAGTTGACTTGTTTTTTTTCCAATTGATGCAATTCTCATGGCGGTGCGTTTGCACCGGTCTGACGATGCAGGTAAATGTTGTCATCAAAGGCACTGTACAGGGTGTTTTCTACCGGAAGTGGACGGTCGATGCTGCTCGAAAGCTCGGCTTGAATGGATGGGTGCGCAACTGCCGAGATGGTTCTGTAGAGGCTGTCTTTGCAGGGCCACCTAGTGCTGTGGACTCTATGATTCAGCAATGCCATTCGGGGCCTTCATCTGCCAGAGTTTCGTCTGTTGACGTGTCTCAATGGGATAATGAAGTCCCACAAGGCTTTGAGAAAAAGCCGACATGGTGATTGATTTACAACAAAAAAACGGAAATTTGTCACAATTGCTTTGTATTGGATCGAAGAGGCTCTCGTTATTAGTCATGCGCAAGGGACTCAATATTATGAACATGCATCTATCGGTCATTTGTTCCGTTTGTGCACTCTTCTGGAGGTGCCACTTACAATCCCGCATTGGTAAAATTCGAGGCTCTGTCAAATGCTGCCCATTTTAATTACTTCTGCTTCTTTTTTGAATTATCGTAATCCTAGGTAGTAATGAAATTAGCTGTCCATTTTAACCATAACTAAAATGCCATGTAAGTTTATGTAGGGCGTACACATGAATTTATAGTCATTGACTGAAGGAAAATGCAGTTCATATGTAATATAATCGGATCACCGCAGCGTTGCAGAACTGCACCAGAATTTCTTCGAGATTACTTTGTGGCTGAGTATCTCATCATCCTTCTCACAAAGTATAATCAAACTGCGTTTTCAACTGGATCATTAAACAAATGGTATTTTTATGGATGTGGCTCTGTCAGAAACGCTGCTGTGTCAGAGCAGTCTTCGAACTTGATGCATGTACATTGCCTTGGAAATCTTCAAACATCCTAAAAATATTCTGACTCATGGAAAGTGTGAAGAGTAGTGTACACAGTAGAATCCAAGTCCACTGCACCAAACGAGGATTTAGGTCTACTGTTAATTTTATACATGACCACGTCCAATGTATCCATTGATCTGTACACGGCATCTTACTCTCATTGACTGGAAGACAAGAGGCAACAAGCACGTTTTTTTTATTGAATCCAGTCAAGGTTATCCGAGAGGCTTCACTCCCAGCAGTTGATGGCATGTGAGGGAAAAAGCAAGAATTTGCATCTACGGTAGCTAAATTAACAACCAGAGCTGCCTACACATTAATGATCAAACATTTAGAAAAAGTGGATGTGGCTGTCAGTGACCTCACCAGTATCAGCGAGATCGGAGATTTTCTGGTTTTTCCGGGGATAACAAGAAACTGAGACTAAAAATGTACCAACACAAAAAATGTACAGAGTTGAACGACCAGCAAAAAACCACATGTATATTTCTGGGGTGTTGTACTTAGAAGAGGAGATTCAGATTGAGAATGTCCCTCTTTCCTCTTCAACGGTACACATCCGTCGGGTCCACTCATCTTTGTCCTTGAAAGCTTGGGTTAAACCCTCCTCGAACTCTTAAAAACATTGGCTAGGTATTGCGATCGTGTTTCCATCGGGGGGCTGTTTCTTCGGAAGCTAGACCGGCACTTTCGCGCAGCAGTGCTCGATTTCTAATATCTGCACTCGACATGGCGGCTCTTCGGCAAGTGAGTAATGCGACACTGGGTTGTGCTGCTGCACCCCAAGTTGTGAAGGCGGGTGACTCAACGGTGAGAAGGGTGAACATGGCGTCTTTGGAGTCAGCGATGGCGGGTCTGCAGTTGAAGGGAATGAGGACCGGACCCAACGTGGTGGAGAGAGCCAAGAGGACGAGTGTGGTCAGCCAGGCCGTCTCCACCGAGAAGGAGCTGGAGTTGAACATCGCCGATGATGTTACCCAGGTACTCGATTGCGCCCCCAAGTTCTAGCGTGTGTGTGTATGGTTATGCTTTGCAGAGCTCGGGGAGTCTTTGGCACTATGTCTGTTTTACTGTTAAATGTCGCCGTGTCAAGTACTTGGAAGTGTAAAGCAGTGTTTTTATCTTGTTAGTATTTCAGCTGTTGATTTGGCCTTTCGCACGGATATGATTTTTGGGGCTAGGTAGGGTCTTGTTCGAGGATTGTAAAGAAGTTCCAATATTTCGTAGGATTTCAAGCTTATGTTTCCATTTTCATTCCTTTTAGTTTTCCGAACTATAGGATCGTACCATTGACAAGCCTGCATGTCCCTGTTAGCGCCTCTCTTTTCTTCAACTCTTGGATAAGTTTCAAGATTCTTTTATGAAGGATGCCTGCGCCTCTGTCTCTTTAGCCTAGAATTGAGCACAACGGGTTGTGACTAGATCATTTGTTTATGTTGAGTTTGTAGTGAAAACACGAGGTGGCTTGTGAGTGGACTCATGCTTTGTACACTGCAGAGAATCAGGATTTCATGAAAGATCACTTTTTATTGTGCTGCAAACACAATAAGCCAGTTCTGGGCTTATGCTTCTCAGTGGTTATCTTAGTGCATCTAATTTGCTTGTTTTTGGATCAGAAATGTCAGAGACATTCTGTTTTCCTTCCTTTCTTAGGGCTGCAGTTAGCTTTATCCACTTTCTATTTCAGCCAGGATATTCATCTAATATGTATGATGCAATGTGTTTGTTTGGTCTTTTTGGTTTATTCTTTTGATAATTTTATCCCGGAAATATTTTTGGAAATAAAGTCCCTTTGTAAGATCAACAGATGTGTGATGAGTATCCTGATTTGAATATTTATTGAGTGATGTATAATGTTGCACAGTGGTGTGATCATTGTCTTTTCAACCGTGCTATTATGCTTGTGGTTCATTGCAGTTGATTGGTAAAACGCCTATGGTATACCTCAATACAGTGGTGGAAGGATGCACCGCCAATATTGCGGCCAAGTTGGAGATAATGGAGCCCTGTTGCAGTGTTAAGGATAGGTTAGTGCATACGATCTTATAAAGTCCCTATTTAGTCCCTTGTTTGCATCGGAAATGTGTCCGTAGCTTGATGTCACGCTGTCAGGGTTCTAGGACTCTCGAGATCTTACAAAACCTTGATTGTAGCAATGAAACTGTTTTGGAAAGAGTCGTTCGCTTGAGCGGGATTTCCTGATTACGACTGTTCTTAATTGTGAAACCTGAGTGTTTGTCGTTGTAGTGTACGGTCCTCCGTCTACTGGGTTGTAAGTTCTGATCCCAATGTTGAAGATAACGATGAGAAAATAGATAAAAAAGAGTTTATTTTAAACCCATCTATTTTAGACGAGTCCTCAAGTTGACATGTTTGCTGAAGTTTTCAGGGAACACTGTTATAGTTTTGTTTGCAATCTGTATGTAGACTCTACAGTTGGCAATCTTAGGAGGATCGTGGGGTTTATTGGAATCGCTGGGAGCAAATCGGTCGTCTGATGGATTTTGTCCTAACGTGCAGGATTGGTTTTAGCATGATTACTGATGCGGAGAATAAGGGTGCAATTACTCCCGGAAAGGTTTGCACCCAAGGCAACTTTGTTTCAAGTCATGATTCTTGCGTATAATTTTTGGTTCGATACTTGTTTATTGTAGTGCTATCTGCTGCTTAGCTTGTCAGTCGACTAGCTGATGCTTTAATTACAGAATTCGTAGAGTTCTTCATTAGCTCATTTCTTTTTACGATTGCAAGACATAGAAATCTATATGAACGACTTCTTGGTGCCCATTGTGAACAGAGCATTCTTGTTGAGCCAACCAGTGGGAACACCGGTATTGGTTTGGCTTTCATTGCGGCTGCCAAAGGTTACAAGCTTATCCTTACCATGCCTGCATCCATGAGTTTGGAGCGGCGCATTCTGTTGAAAGCTTTTGGAGCGGAGCTTGTCCTTACCGACCCAGCTAAGGGAATGAAAGGCGCTGTCCAAAAAGCAGAAGAAATTGTGAAGAAAACTCCCAACTCATACATGCTCCAACAATTCGAGAACCCAGCAAATCCTAAGGTATCACATCGCACACATAGCTGAATTCAGTATTACCACTGATCTTTTCAGAACTTTCCTTACAACTGATAATTTTTTAATCTTACTTTCTTTGCAACTGCGAATCTTAATCTTGTTTCGGTAGAAGGAAGAGTTAGCTGATCCATGTGTATGTCGTGTAGGTTCATTTTGAGACTACTGGACCAGAGATTTGGGAAGATACAGCCGGAAAAATTGACATTCTTGTTGCTGGCATTGGTACCGGTGGAACTGTAACTGGAGCTGGTCGTTACTTGAAAAGCAAGAATCCCAACGTTAAGGTGAGTTTAGCTATATCATATCAGAATTACATCTTCTATTCATTTATATTAAAAACATTTCTTGGTTGTATCACATGACTCTGAAATATTTGTATGGGCCTGAAGACTTTCAAGTTAGTTTGGCAATGCTTACTAATGTTAATGTGGCTGTTGGTGTGAACGTTGCTGCTTTGGTCCACAGATTATTGGAGTTGAGCCAAGCGAAAGTAGTGTCCTTTCAGGGGGGAAGCCAGGTATAAATCTTTGTTAAAATTTCAGAGCTTACGAACAGTAGGTTGTGTCACAGTGTAAATTTCTAAATCCTTCTAATCAGTGTCTAATGTAATACAGGCTGGATTGCTTTATTTTAAAATGCCTTGTCTTTATTAATAGTTTTCCCGTGTCAGTAACTCTTTGCTATCATCTTCTCATGCTCAGGAAAGTCTTGTTGAAATGTTGAGAAACATTTGCAGATCAGATCAGAGTTCTGCTCATTGATGGTTGTGTATATGAGTTTGTTGTGCGTTGACCAACGAGCATTTTTGAGCTAATTGAATTCTTGAAATTAAGAATTGTCGAATACGGTATGGCAGGACCTCACAAGATTCAGGGGATTGGAGCAGGGTTTATTCCGGGTATTCTTGATGTGGAGATTCTAGATGAAATCATCCAGGTTGGTTCCTTTTTGTTTTTGTGGTTCTATAGTGCTGAGGTTGGTTTTACGTTTATGTTTCTAGTTTTTTGGGTTCTGTGTTGGAAACCTTTTCTATGTAAATTTTAGAGTACATCAAGAACCACGAGGTAACTTAAGAGCATAAATTTATCTATCTGAATTGTTCAAGACTCCTTATTCTGACTCCTCTTTTTGTCTTTTTCGTTTTCTTTTTGAAATAAAATAAAACAGGTATCTAGTAACGATGCTGTGGAGATGGCTAAGCAGCTTGCCCTGAAGGAAGGTTTGCTGGTGAGAGCATTGTTTTGCGCTATGCATGTGCTCTCTACAATTCTGATTGGGAACCTGGAATTGTTTCATGCGTTGCGATGCAAAATACCTTGACCACTAATCTTTACGTTGAGACATTACATGACCATCGTCAGGAGTTTATAATGTGTGCTTCATCTGGCTTATTGGGACCAGTTGTGCTGGCAAGCAATGAATGTTCGTTAGTAGATCCATGACTTCCGAACTCTTTTTGATGGCAGGTTGGAATTTCCTCAGGAGCTGCTACAGCCGCAGCTGTCGAGGTGGCCAAGAGGCCAGAAAATGCCGGAAAATTGATTGCGGTACGAAATGACTTTCAACTTAACTCATTCTTTGCCCTTGATGAGGCCTATCTGTTGCACAGTATATTATCACTCAATGCGTGTTCTTTTGTAGTGATGAAGGCTTTCCGACTATCATTGGAAGCTCATAAGGTAGTGCAATTGTTTCTTTCAATTGGTGCAGGTGATTCTTCCCAGCTTCGGAGAACGGTATTTGTCGTCTGTGCTGTTCCAATCCATCCGGGAAGAGGCTGAGGCCATGCAGCCAGAGATGTAGTCTAATATCTCTTGTTTTGGAATCCTTTCAGTCACCGAGATGATAATTTGGAAACAAAGGTCCTGAATGTTATATGTGAGCATGTATCGTTTGTCTCCTAAACCGTGAGTTTTTGGGTGGCCGGTGTATAATGCAATAACTAGAGAAAGCTATTACTAGTCATAATCTCTACAGTATGCGTAACGCGTTCGAGCTGAAGCAAATCTTTTTTTACAGTCAGATATTCTCTTGTATTTTGCACCAACACAGCTACCTGAGATCCATGAAATGTGAAAATAAAGACGCAGGAAATTTTCAGTGTTCCATGGATGTGTTCCTTGTGTATAGTTTGTATCGGCAGTTAATGTCTCTCCGAGCCATGGACCAAATGCATTTTCTCCTTTTTGATCGCATCACTTTCCATTTTCTTTGCTGGTCAACGCAGCTGTTGTATTACCCACCTCACGCGTCTTACGTGAAATACAGTTCTGAAGTTAAGACGCAAAATGACTCCACCACTAAAATCCACCACCGGTTCCTTCACAGTCCTTCCACAGCAAATCCTTTACACCTGCCCCACATAGTTTCACATCTTAATTTATGTTTTTAAGTGGAGCAGTGTTTTCCACAAGGAAATCTGACACAGTGCCAAGCACTGCTAACACACTTGAACTGTACCCATCACGCTGTCTTAAAATATCATGGTCATTTCAGAGCTCGGTTCTATTCAGATTTAGACCTTTCGCACTTAAAAAAGCTGGAATATCGCCCACTGATGCACACTCGTATTAACATTATATAGAAACTGAACTGCCCAAATGAGGCTAGTTTGGTTCACTCCAAAAGCAGCCCACATGCTGTGCCGCAATATCTGCGCAAATGCTGCTTTTAGTCTGAGTCTTGCAGTCGGAATTCATGGAAATAGCCTGCTAAAGTGTGTTTGATGGTAGGGTGACTTTCACTTCTCACCACAAGATAGCAACGTGACATTATGTCAATCATACAATTGTCCATGTGTTCTATAGAAATAACACACATTTTGAGAGAGTGTGTTTGTGTGTGTGTGTATATATATATATATATATATATTTTTTACTGTAACTTCAACCTGTTGAGGAGGGTGAATGGTTTGATTGTGTGAAAGTGATGAGTTATGTTAAGCAATATTCATGAATTGGTGTGATCAATGAAGAATATTATACTTATTGCCATACCATATCTCTCTGAACAATTTTTTTATGGTCTTGTAAGAAGTAAAAATGTGTTTTACTTGAAAATTCAAGTTATTTATATGCATAGTTTTGTTTTTGACAGCTTGAGTTTATTGACAATATACAATGAAAGTTGTTCTGAATCAAGTACATTAGCAAATAGAGGTCTTTTGTTTGCAACATTTCAATAAAGTAAATGAGCATAGCTAACAACATGTTTATCCAATCACAAAACTACAAAGTGGCAAAAAATGTATATTCATGAATATACATTCAAAAGCATTTATGAATTTATAATAAAGAGTAAAATATATTTAGGTTGGTTTGTAATTACAAATACAAGTTTTAAAGTTTCTTTTATGTAGTATATGTATATAAAAAGGATGCTGGAAATTTATTATCTTACAAATATCAGAATATTAGTTTAATTTTCTCAAAGATTGTAAATAAGTATGCTTCATATCCTAAACCAAAGCAATTTGTTGTGACTTCGTTTGGTAATTAATACAAACCATGTCTATTAATTAAGTGAATTAAATTAATTTTGTCAAAAATATCTTAACAATATTAACTTACAAGGTTTTTTAATTCAAATAATATAGCACAACACTAAGAACATTAAGCAAACTAAATAATAAGTAATAAGCAAACTAAATAATAAGTACATATAACCACTATAGAAAATTGTGGGCTAAATAGAATGAGAGAAAAATGATCTCATTGAAATGTTCATTAAAATAAAAAAGAGAAAGAAAAAAAATGTTGGTAATTTTATTATATGGATATTTTAATCTAATAAGTTGTACCATTGTCTCTAAAAAAAAACACTTTCAAAGTCAAACAACCCTTGATCAAAACATGAGCTCTTGATTTGTTTGCATTTTAATATTTGCATTGTTGGGTTATTAACTCATTACATATAAGAATAAATGATTTATAAATAAATAGATAAATCAGTAACTATTAGTGATAAAGGGGAATTCCCAATAATTTAGTATTTTATAATATTTTATAAGAGTGATGCTCTTTACATCTATAAGCTTTTACTTATCAGTCCCAAATGAAAGAATAAAGACACACATAAGGTTAGTTACTTATTTATAATAATCTATGTACCAAATCTGTTGTAGAGTATCTTTTAGTTTAAACTGAATTCAAAATGTCTAAGAATTTAACAAGTTAAAATCACCCATAATAGTGGGCTTTGTTGTTAAATGGAACTCCTAATGCTGCTATTTCATGACTAGGAAAATCTGTGGAGGATTCTGCAAAAATATAATTTAAAAACTTATTCATTTTATATTTAAAGTATGTAGACACAATAAGTTTATTGGTTCAAAAAATTACTCTAAATAATTCTTAATTTTTTATGAATAATTGAAATAAAATAAAATAAAGTAAATCCAAAAATTCAGAAAACATGTGTTAAAAAGGCATTATTTAATAAATTTAAATGCCAAAAAACATATTTGTCTTATAAAAGTTAATTGAACCTTTTTATATGCTTAAAAAAAATTTAAAAGGATGTAGTAAGAAAAAAGATTAATAGTTTATCGTTATCACAACTGTAGGAATAAAAAAAAGTGTTTGTAGCTTTATCAATTAATTTTAATGGATGTCTTAGTAATATCCTTTTTGTAAAAGATTCACTTGAATTTTATACCAATCAATTAATTATACTTCTTATGACAACCTCAGATGGCTAATAAACAATTTAAACAAAGAAGTTTATTGTGATTCAATACATTTTAGATATAAAAATTAAGCAAATTTATATTATTGGAAAAAAATATGTCAATAAACAATTGTGTGGATATTATATTTTTACTCATCTATAACTACTAATAGTAGACCAATGTTTGTTAATTTGGGTAGCTGAAGATAAAACCATATATGTTTTTTTATTAAAATGTTGTAATTATTCTTTTGTCGTGTAATTATTCATTAGAACTAGTTTTTTAGTAGCCTATATAATAGGTTAATAAAAGCTTGTATGTATGTTTCTGAAGAATAAATTTGTATTAACACAAACGTACATATGTTTGTAGAGTTATTAAATATAAAAGTTTGATCAACACTTTAAAAACAAAGAATAATACCAAAGATCAGAAGTATATGTTTTTACAAAGATTACAATTAATTTCCACATTATAATATAACAAGCCAAATAATTAAGCAACATTGAAGTATGGAAAAATCTGCTAGTACAAATTAATAAAATACATATTTCGAAGAAAAAATTCTATAAGATTACAAATGGCCGGATCAGTATCTACTAATTGCAAGTCATTTGTTAGCTTCTTACATAGGTTACTAAAAAACTAGTCTTAATAAAAAAATAAAAAATGAAAAATAAAAAATAAAAAATTTCTTATTTTCCTTGAATTTAATTTGCTAAACTTAACCAAATTAAATTACATTTGAAAAACATTCTAAAAATATAAATTTTTTCAATGGATTACCATTAAAAATTTAAATTAACAGAGGAAATTATTTCTTGAAAGTGCAGCAATACTGGTAATAAAACACAACAATGTGGAGTAATTAATGCGGATTTCCAATTTAAATAATGTTTTGAAAGTGTAACATGTACAATTCGCATGCTTGTTAGTTCTTTTCTTTTTCTTTTTCTTTTTTTTAATGTTTTTTTTAATTTATTATTTTATTTCATAAAAGAATGAAGAAAACAATATAAAATGATTTGTTGAATCAATCATACTTTGCAACAACACATATGTGTATATATGTATGTATATATATATATATATATATATGAAAGAAGAGATGCAAACAATTAACCAATCTTTTGACTCTAGGTTTTGTATTATTGTTATTATTAATTAATTAATTAATATTGGTGTTATTTTCCGATGTACAACAAAACATTGATTTTAAAAGACCACTATCAATCCTAATGTTTCTCTTCATCCACATAATACCAACGAATGAAAAATACGCGATTGGATGAACGAATTGAAACCAACTGTTCATCCGCCACGTCGGGAGAGTGGCGGGAATGAAGAGGAAGAGACAGCAACCGGCCAGGAAACTTCTCACTCAGAACCCTCCCAACCCATGACCGCGCACTCCCACCCCTATAAACGAACTCCAATTATAGGCGGTTGGAGGTCCTGCACCCGGGGTGATGGAGCGCCTTATCCTATAGGCGCGTGGATCTGAAACCGCGCGCACGTGTAGAGCCACGGAATCAGAGCACCGAAGCTCATTACCGCGCGGGCTTGCATGACCGATGAACGAATGAGTAGAAACGGATGGATTTACGTTGCGAAAATGGATGAACGTAGACTCAATTGACTTGGTCTAGCTGAGGGGAGAGCGCCGCTGGGATCGTACACACGGAGTGTCTGTGTTTGTAGATCTTGCGTGTAACAGTGAATTTTCTCTAGACTTCGCAGAGATCAAGTGACTTCAAAATCTGCTGACTGAGTTCAACGATACCCAGCTCTTCATTTCCCATTCAAATCCACAAGCGCCTTGAAGCGGTGAATCATCAACAACAGTTACAATCCCTAACAGTTCCCAGTTTCAAACCGCTTCGCCGGGTTTCGTGTTGATAGTCCCTATCTCGGTTTGACGGTGTCCGGAATGACGAGAGCTTTGTAGAGTTTAGAGAGTTCTCCAAATTTGGATTAAACCAAGTATTTCGAGATTTGAGGGAGGTTGATGAGTTGCGATGAATGAGGGCGAGTTGCATCCATCGAGCAAAGGGGGTTGAGCTGCGTGACTGGTGAAACATCGATGGGAATCGATCGGGAATGAGACCGGCGAGCTTATAAATAGACTGCGAGTGACTTTCCATCTCATCCTCAGGAGGAACCTGGAATGGACTGGAAGGCAGCTCATGCCCAGCGAATCCAGTTCCACTGTTGATTCATGACGAGAAGGAGGCGACCATGGGCGTAGCAGTGCTCGTATATAAAAACTTTCGGGGTAATGACCTCGTCTCTTCTTCCCACCCTCGCGTAGAAAAAGGGTAACAAAAACAATCTAGAGGTTTGGGGACCGAGATTGGAGCGACTTTATCGCTTGGTCGAGGCGCAGACCGACTTTCGAGCGAGGGGGAGAGGTAGAGAGGGGGGGGGAGGGTTGGTATCGGGAAATGTGGGCCGGTCTCGCTGATGTTGCAGGAGTTTGCACGAAGGGCGGTAGTCGGATAGCATGGTAGTAGTTCACCAGGCGAAGAGTTCCGGAAATGGATTCAAGCGAGAGGATGTTGATGCCCAACTCCCGGTAGATGTCGAGTTATCGCTGGGACACCGGATCGCTATGTCTCTGGAGGTCTGCAGGTGATTTTGCCATCATTTTTCTTCCCGACAATGTGGGGATTACGAAAAATCAACCACGGAGATCGCATTGTGTCTTCTTTCGCTTTTTTCGACGTGAGTGAGTGCGGGGAGCAGGGTTGTGGATTTTTAAGTTGACAGTGCTGGTGTAATTCGGATATAATTATGGATCTAGTTATACAGACTCGAAGTAGTAGCTACAAAGAGTGAACTATCCAGATCCAGTTGTGCGAGTGATGTAACTCGAAGATCCCACATGTGGAATTGGAATGTGATCTTGCCCGGATGTTTACCGTCAGGTTCTGCTACTGGCCAGGTTCTCGTTGAACTCCAATGCTGGTTCGCAGAGAGCCGTGAGAAGCGGCTGTTTCTGTAGGACCTAAGTGCAATCGTTGCATTTTTGAACGGTATAGTTTTAGTGCTTGAAAACCGGAATCGTGCTTCACTTAGTATCTTCCTCTGCAGGGAAAGCTTCTGGTCTTCTTGTCTTTGGCTGTATTAAAATCCTCGTAATTCATCTCTGAAGGGATTCCACAAGCTTTTCGTCCCTGTGAAGATATATGTATCAAAGTACTTTTCAGCATCCTCTAAGTCTGTGGGTAATTATTCCGTGGTAGAATTCGCCAACCCAAATCTTATCGGATCCTCCGCCTTCAACTCCAAGTCTTCGATCCCTTCTTGTCTTCCTGTCAAATCTCCCGAACGACCTGGCTTGACACATATCTTTCTGGTGATCGTAGGTATGATAACGAGTGGAGTATGTCAGGTGGCGCGTTTTGCTTTGCACGATGCCCGGCAAGGTGAGAAACGCAGTACCTACTTGCCTCATCTTGCAAGTTTCGCAAGCTAAAGCTGTTGGACGGCATTTTCCATGCCGGAAACTCGTATTGACAAGCTTGTTATTCCTACGGCGTGCAGCTGGGGTAGCATATTATGACAAGAAGACATTCCACATATGTACCAGCGTTTTGGGAAGATGCGAAAGCTTGTCAGAGTAAAACCATGAACCAATTGGTAGTATACGAGCAGGGCATTCTTCCCCGCAGCGATGCAGCGTGCAGCTCTCAATTTCGAGCGACTACATTTATTCCCGAAGATTTCAGTAGTGTTGGACGGTTTCTACGATGTCAAATTCGACGGTGGAGGTTTATGCCGACGGTCCAGTGAAGGCTCCAGCGCGTGCCCCAGCTCTAGTTCCAGCTCCAGTCCCTGTCCAAACTCCAGGTCATTTTGGGCCTCCTGCACCCCTTCCAGTAGGGAATTTACCTCCCCAATCGGCAATCGGTATCTCATGGGTTGGCATAGTAGGCATTCTCGCAGCTTTTCTCGTGCTCGCAGTGATTGCTCTCATCTTTTTCTGGTACAAAAAGAATGCGTACAAGAAGGCTTTGCAGGATCAAAGAAATTTCTACGTTGCAAATGCCGTTAGTCAAATTCGTGAAGAATGGTCTGACGATGACGTGAATCGTAGCAAGAGGGGACAAACGACCTTGGCAGATTTTGAGCATGCGCTTGTAGCGCAGACGAGGTCTAAACGATTCAATTGGGGGAACAATGCGGCATTCGGTGACAGTCCGTCTGGGGAGAGGATTGTGGAGCAGGACATTCCTATCTGTACCAGAGCCAAGCCATCGTCGAGAGGTTCGAAGGACTGGGTTTTGTCCGGAAGTTTCAGCGATAAGCACATGACCGGGAGTTTCGGTTCGAGCCAGTGCGATGATCTGGTGGGCGAAGTATTCTACACGGGCGTAGAAGGCTCGGAACAAATGGGAGTGCGGTACAGCAGAGCAGAATTGGGCGACATAGAGATTTTAACCAAAATACCGCCAAACCCGAAGACTCCGAAGACGCCGAAGAAATGGAAGTCTGAGAGTGAGTCGGCAAGTTTGCTGGGAACCTTGAGCAGATCACACACCATAGCTTCGTCGCCAGCGAGAGAGGAGCACAACAAACCCGGTGGATGGTCAGTTCGATCCTTTTCACTGCCTACTTACCACCACACATCATCATCACCACCAGGATCGCTCGTGACAAGCTCGGGGATTAAAGCGGACAACAGACTGGAAGCACTGAAATCACTCAGCCCTCTGACGCCGCATCCGAGTTCCTTGCCAGCTTCCCCAACTGCTCACAATTATTTTCCTCCCCCGTTCGGCAACAATCTCACTCCCGCTTCGTGGGATCATGTACCATCTCGGCTGTCTGTGCAAACTAATGCAGCTGGGCACACCAACGGAGCTTTGCACGCCAATGCAGCTTTGCACAACCCTACTTTTGTTGCGCCCCCTTCCACTCCTCCTCCACCTGTACCGCTTCCCATGGCGCTTGAGGAGGGGGAGGGGCGAGACTCGCCCAGGGAGAAGACATTGAAGGAGCTTCGTCGGGATATGAAGCAAGCGGAGTCGAAGTGGACAATTGCCCACTACTGTCCCTCTCCTCCCCCGCCTCCTCTACCTGTCCCGTTTCAGCCCCTTCCCTCTCCACCCTACCCTCTCCGCGCTCCGTCCCGTTTAGGCTCCCAGCTTGATGTCGAGAGCCCTTCATTTCGTGCCTTGTGTAAATCTGCACTGACCATTGCTGCTTCGCCATCCCCTTCCTCTCCTTCCGCACGTCGACCAGCCACTCTGTCTAATGTAGCTACGTCGCCTCCTCCCAGATCACCGCTCGGGAAAGGTAGCGAAGATAATACTTCTCCACCTTCACCTCCTCCTCCACCTTCACCCCCTCCCCCTCCTCCAGCCCCTCCTCCGCCGCCATTCTCAACTAATCTCCCTTCGAAAAAGCCTGCACCGCCGCCTTCACCTCCACCTCCACCTCCGCCGTCTCTGTCGAGTAGGAAGTTCACCCCACCTCCATCCCCTCCACCATCAGCAGATGAAGGACGAAAGCTCACTCCGCCACCATCTCAACCACCCGCAACTCTCCCATGCAAAGAGCTCACTCCGCCTCCCTCCCCTCCACCCCCTCCTATGCTTAGTAGCAGTGAATCACGCAGTCGGTCGATTCCGAAGCTGGCTCCATTGATATTACCTGCAAGACCTGATCTGGGAGAGAACAAAGAGATCTTCAGAGCCGAGCAACGCTCCATCAAATCGAATCAGAAGATGCGACCTCTCCACTGGGACAAGCTCAAGCCTGAGTCACGCACTCGGATGGTGTGGGACAACATGAGCAACTCCATGGAGTAAGTCCGCGGATCGCCTTGCTCACCTTTGCGAGGATATTGACATTTTCGTACCGTAATCTGAGACTTATCAATGTGATTAATCTCCTGGTTGTTGTCCTATATAGACTGGACGAAGAAATGATCGAGAATTTATTCGGTGTGGCTCCAAGCACCTCTGCAGGCAGCATCACGAGGCAGTCCTCTAAACTTTCTGTATCCGCGAAGAGTGAGATTCTCGATCCAAGGAAAGCTCACAACATTGCCATCCAGCTACGCGCTCGGGGCTTATCAAAGATGGAAGTCTGTGATGCGCTGGTAGAGGGCGAGGGCCTGGACCAGGAGATTCTAGAGATTCTCGTGAAGATGACTCCCACGGACGAAGAGATCACCAAGTTCAAGCAATTTCAGGGAGATACAACGATACTGGGTCCAGCAGATCGCTTCATCCTGGGTCTTCTTCAGATCCCAAATGCGTTTGAGCGTCTTCAAGCCATGCTTTATAGGGCATCGTTCGAGGAAGAGCTTCGCCATATTCAGGATACAATCACTACACTCCAGGTAATGGAAGGTCCCCTCCCAACAATTTCGATCAGTTAGTTTCGATGCTAGTCCAATTCGCTATAGTGACTTGTGCCTAATTTCTTGTGCATGATGTTGGATCATGGTGAAGATGGCCTGCAAGGAGCTGAAGAGCAGCCGCACATTTACAAAGCTGCTGGAAGCAGTGTTGAAAACTGGCAACCGGCTCAACATGGGGACGTTCCGAGGAGATGCGAAAGCTTTCAAGCTGGACACGCTGCTAAAACTTGCCGACGTGAAAGGAGTTGATGGGAAGACGACACTCTTGCACTTCGTGATCACTGAGATCATCAAGGCGGAAGGAGCACGAGCTGCGAGGCTCGCCGGGTTTGACGACGGCTCGACACCAACAAGCCAGATGAGCTCGGCGTGCACCACTCCCTGCGCCACAACTCCTTCTTCACCCCTTTCTCATTTTGCCAGAAGCATGGAAGCTGAGTTGGAGCGGTGCCAGGGTGAGTTTAGCAATAGTGACGGTAGGGACGATTTCAAAAGGATAGGAATGGACGTAGTGAGAGGGATTCCGAACGAGTTAGTGCACGTCAGGAAGGCTGGTAGTCTAGAACTCGTAGCTTTGAAGCTTGCGGTGAGCAGGCTCCAGATAGGATTGCAGAACACAAAGACGACGCTGGAGGAGCTGCGAGTGTTTACCAGCGACGCAGTTGAAACCGCTGGTTATGACCTCGGTGACGATGTTTTTAAGGAGAAGATGATGGACTTTGTGGTGGATGCCGAGGCAGAGGTGAGGATGGTCCAAAGGGACCTAGAAGCAGTGTTAGCGAGTGTAAAGGATATTAGTATATATTTTTACGGAGAGGCAGACACGGCGAAGAGCAAACAGCCTTTGAAAGTGTTTATGGTCATGCGAGAGTTCCTTGCCATGTTGGAGCAAGCTTGTAAAGACGTGATGAAGACGAATGCTTCACTGACCGTGTCGCCATCCAGGCGCCCCAGTCTCTCCCTGCCGAATAAAACGAATTGAAGTGAAGCAGCTTCAAATCTCCGACACGGCTTGTACTGTAGATACGTTACTGGGGCCTAATTTGGCAACCTTCTTGTACCATCTGCAAATGCTAATTCATTCTTCCTATGTTTCTGACGGGTGCAGCTGCTTCGAAGCATAAATCTTTACCATGCTACTTTCTCGAATGTGAATGGATCTTTTGAGTTTAACTTGTACGTGCAGCATGATTTTGAAAGGAAATTTCAGACTTGCAATCGCATTTAATGTTTTTTTTTTTGCTTCATTGAATACTTAATCTGGGCGTATAAAAAGGCAAATAATGATAACAATCAAAATAATACTGCTGTTTACAGAAGAGAAAATGATACACACACTTGGGCCGTTGCACCTCCTGTGAAAGTGGAGTGATACCACTTGGAAGGTATAAACTAAAATCCTGATCCTGTTAATATGAAACCAAGTTCCAGAATTTGAACCTTACGCATCCGGGGGCTACTTTGCATTTACAACAAAATCCCAAACCTCTCTTCGTTGCTAATCCACGACTCTGAACTGGGAAGCTTGGATTCGAAAGTGACGCTATACTGCTTTCTGAGACAATTAAGCTTCTCCCTCGATTGTGCCAGCTCTTGCTCTATCTCTCGAACTTTGTCGAAGTGTTCCTGCAGGCTTGCTCCATTCTGCGAGCAGTTCTGGTTTGGTTGAGTATCACGCTCTTCTTGTATGCTCTGAAGCTCTTCAAGCACTTCCTGCAGATCTCTTTGCAACTCCATCTCCACCTCTGTTATCTGATCACATTGGAGTTCTAGCTGTGAGTATTTCTCCCTAATGGCCGCATCACGCTCTTTCTTAACGACCTTGAGCTCTTCAACCTTCTGCTGAATTGCTCCACGTAGCTCTAACTCTATCTGGCGAATCTGCTCACGCAGATGTTCCTGATCCAAATGCACTTCCAAAATTGCCTTCTCACGCTCTTGACGCGTGGTCTCGAGCTCGTTGGCAACCCGCTGCAACTCCATTCGCAGCCCCATCTCAATTTCAAACACATGGTCACATTGTCGTTCCAGCTGCGAATGTTTCTCTGCAACTGCACCGTCACGCTCTTTTTTGGCAACCTTGAGCTCTTCCTGTGCCTGAAGGAGCTGTTCCGGAAGCTCAGTTTGAATTTGGTGTTCGTCCTCTAGTTGAAATCTCGATTGCGTCCCCGATTCCTTACACGCATCATCACGTGGTTTCTGAACAGCAGTGAGATCTCGACTGGCCTTGTGTGTAACCCTTCGCTGTTCCTCCAACTGCAGCTGCTTCGGAGCAATTGCATCATCCCGTTGCTTCCGAGCTGACTCTATCAATTCATTTGTCCGCCGCAGCTCCTCTAAGAGCTCCGTTTCCATTGACTGGTCGCACTCGTGATCTGGCAGCATTTGCCCCTCTGCAATGGCGGCATTCCGCTGTCTCTGCACAGCGAGCATTACCTCATTCCTTCGACGTAGTTCCGCTAGCAATGATTGGCGACACAGGAAATCTGATTCATGGGAGCCATTATCTACCACGTCACTGTCCCGTACGTTCTGCGTGTAGCTCACACCCGGCGTCAGAGGGACCCGATTCTCCTCCTGCGTTTCCTCTGCCGTCGTTTGAAGCCGCTTGCTCGGTGAAACCTTGCGCGAGGCTGACCTCAGACGCTCCACTTTTACAGGACTACTCACATTCCTGTCACTAATTCTTCGCCGCCTCTTGAGCCCCGCCTTCCTACATTGCATTTTCGCGTAGGAACAATCCGGCGAATGCGCCATACCTGAAGGGGTTTCCACCTGGACGTCCACACACCTCGACTCCTGTAACCTGCCCTCGGTACGCTTCATCCCATGCTAACTTAACATCTGCTTCGACCGCTTTATTTCCCAATCCTCAAACTCGTCCAACTTCTTCGTTTCGAACTCTGTGAAAACAAAATTCCAGAACATAGCGAGCCTTCACAAAGTGCCCTGACAACAAAACCAACAAAATCATCCCTCCAAACTGCGCTATCATTCTAAAACCCTAGAAAATTTCCCGCAAGCAGCAAGCTTCCGACTACTGAAAAACCTTGCTCAATCCGGGGGAAGACCTTGAACCCTAAACAGAAAATCCAATAACCATGAAACTGAACCTCAGCTTTTGAAGATAGGTTCAAATGGGATTCCAGAACCCATTATGAAGCTCTTAGTTACCTAGCTTCCTCCGCGACCAAGCAGGAGTGGCATGCAGCAATCCATCGTCACAATACCAACCACAAACTCAAAATAACACACCCTATAACGGCTTACAGTTAGACGTGCAGATAGGTACACAATGAAATATCAAGATTAAGCATACGTTGGAATAGGTTAGTAAGGATTGAAAGACTACTACCTTGTGATGAGGAGCTCACTAATGGGGTTGCAATCAATCATTGCAAAGCATGAGACGCCGGGTCAGCATCAAATCCTCGCAATTTCATGAATAGTTCCTCGGTGATGATCTCAAGAAAAAATCTACTCGGAATTGATGAGCTCCTGCGAGGGCGAGCGATTGTAAGCGTGAGGTTGTACACGAGCAACCTGTAACGGATGTCGCTACAAGTTCTAATGGTGCAGAGTTGAAGGGGGAGGGTTTTGGTCCCGAGGTGGACGGGAATGGGCCGAACGCAGGTGGGTCGTTCTTCGTGGGGGGTCTGAACGACGCGTTTCCTTTTTTAGTAGATTATATCCTTTTTCAGCAATTGCCTTGCGAGTCGACTCTGTTTGTGGACGCTGAGTCGTGGCATGCTCGATCCAGGAGTTGGGTTCCGTCATATTCCGGTTTTGTTGGTGACGGAATCAGGAGAGTCCCAAGCTCTGAGGTGGGGCATTCCTGATTAGCAGGGACATCGATTATGGTTGGTTGGATCCGCCTTTTAACCATTTCTTTCACCGACATTGCATCGTTGCCTGTGCGCAGGTGATCTTTTTCGCTCAACTTGAATCGTTCAGCTGTGTTTGCTTGAGGTTCAGTTTATCATTTACCGATTTCTGCAGCCCTAATTTCTCTGCCTTCACTGCAAGATATGTTGCGTCCGAGCGTCTTAGTGTGCGATTTGTTTCAAGATTACTTTTCTTATGTAGGATGTATATGTATGGGCAGAAATGTTATTCTTGAAAGCTACTTCCGAGGAATTGTATCTTTAGCTCGCAATTCTGGTTGTCGCACATAGATTCATGTGGTAGACTCCAGATAGGACGAGTGTTGCACGAGGGACGGTATAACTTTCGTTTCGATTCTTACTGGAAATCCTCTGATTCGCATTCGACCAAGCTATACATCGCTGAAAAACGAGGCCAGGTCCGGTGGGTTTGTACAGAGCTATGAAGTAGTAGCAGTTTTAAATCTTGCTCTTTTGCAGAAGTTTCGATACCAGCTATAGGAAGCATCTCTTCATCCAGAAAAATTCCAGTGCACACTGCAGCGCTGTGCCAACATCTCAGCAAAGTTGAGACAATAAAGTACAGATGATGACTAGTTCCACCTTTCTTTTAAGTTCGTCTATCCTTTCACAAACGAGTAATATGGATCTCGAGAAGTACAATATCTTTTGGGGGCACTCCAATCTCGACGATAATTGTTATTCCGTTGTGTATCTGCTGTCTTAGAATCTGCACAATTTCAGAACTACGTCATTTAGTATGTTGGCTGCCGTGTGTGATTTTGTAGGCATGGCTGCTGTTGGAGTGCAGCATCTGGCGCAATGCATCACATGCCATGCGTGGAATTCGGATATGTCCAGTATGACTACTTCTTCCACCATTTTCTCAATTCACGTTCCATTCTTTACTAGGATTTGTGTTTACAGGAGTGGAGGTGCACTATGCAGGTTATATGGACTTGGCTGAACAGCTTGGATTCATAGTGTTCTTTTAGTTTTTTAAGCAAGTCTACTCAAGTATTCCGCTATGAATTCTTTCTTTTGGAGCAAAACGATACTGGTGTACTAACCTCGATTCGCATCGGGTATGCAGTGGTCGCTCTTTGTCCAAACAACAACGAGGTTCACATTTACAAAGCCTCCATGGATTCAAACTCAGTTTGGGAGCGAGTCTATGTTCTTGAGAAGGTACTTGGTTTTCTTTTCTGCTATGGGTTCATAATGTCAGTTCTGAGCTGTGAGTCTGCAAGCCATCAGAGCTAGAGAGGAGTAACAAAACACTGTAGGTGACTAGTGCCCTAAGATTTTTCGGCCAGTTACTTCTGGCTTTTTATCATAGATGTGTTTAGAGGCTCTCCGAAAGTTGTTGACAGTTCCTTCAAATAGTTTGGAGTTGTAGGTGTAGGTAACTTCAGAATGACAAGCCTAATGTGTGTTGAAGTCCTTCGCTAAAGCACTCATTTGATTCAGTATGTGATGGTTTCGTAGCGCTGTAATTGCTTATAAACCCTAGAAATATTAAGTTCTTCATTTTTTCTTGTTTTCTTAGCTGTCATGTTTCTTGGGTGCAGCATGAACAATTGGTTTCGGGCATTGATTGGGCGCCGAAGAGTAATAAGATTGTTACCTGCTCCCATGATCGGAACTCGTAAGCAAACCCGGACATTGTAATTTGATGTCAGTCGCATGATGCTGTTATCTCAAGGATGTTTGGAAACTTCAGTAGTTTCAATTTGCAAGTTCTACAAGTTGAAGAACATATTTAATGTTTAATATTTCATATTCTAGAGATGGTTATTACTACTACCTACTTGATATTATTGGTAATTCGAACATGCGGATTTCTGACATTACGTTTTCTAAAAGAAATTATTGTCTCCAGTTCTTTATGACCTTGACTGTGGCTGTGACAGGTATGTGTGGTCTTTAGAGGGTGATCAATGGCAAGCGACTCTGGTCATCTTGCGTTTAAATCGAGCCGCCACCTCCGTCGAGTGGAGTCCTCAGGGTACACTATTCTATTTTTCTTTCTATGTCAGTTTCTCTGAAAAGAAACGTGTTACGAATTTTCAAATTCTTGTTTGTGCAAAAATATGATGTAATTTTTGCTTTTAAGATCGTTTGAACGTGCCGAGTTTATCAAGCAGTATTGACTTATTCATGGTTACATTCTCTGTATGCAGAAAATAAGTTTGTTGTAGGAAGTGGTGCTAAGACTGTCTGCGTATGCTACTATGAAGAGGATAATAATTGGTATGCAAATTACTTCCCTTTTATAAGAACGTTTATTCTTTACGAGACACTTAATACCTGCTTTTTTTGTGATGAATGGTCAGTGGAAGCTTCTAAGCATGAGACCTTCATTTGACTGAATAGTCATGCCAATGAGAAGCTGGAAGGTTTTAAATGATTTGATCACTTTTAGTGTACCAAACATGCTTCATCTTGAAATGTATTCCATTTTCGCTTGCCCATAAGTTTCGGACCTTTTTGTCCTTCGTGATGAATGAAACAGTCCTTCGAGTTTAGTTGGAGCACTCCAGAACATTATATGCGAAGACTGGCTTCAAGTGTTGGAATTTATTTTGTTTCTCTGCAGGTGGGTGAGCAAACTAATTAGAAAAAAGCATCATTCCACGATTACGAGCGTTGCCTGGCATCCGAATAACGTACACCTACTTATCATCACGTGTGCTGTTTCTACATTCTGTTGTATATTTGCACTATCCTTAATTCTCAGATTCTTCCAAGTCTTATTGAGTCCTCGTTTGTACATTATATGTAGGTCCTGTTGGCCACAACGTCAACAGATAGCAAATGTCGAATATTTTCTGCATTTATCAAAGGAGTCGATGCACGGTCAGCTGATGCTCTGTCCCTCCAATGTGTTTCCAAGTTATAGATTTTTCTACAGTAACTCCATAGTATTGCTATCTAAAGGTTCTACAACTTGAAGTTATTATTGCTGAACAACAAGCAGAAAAGCTACAGATATGTTGCCTAACTAGAAAGATAGGGATATAAGATTTGTCACGTCATTTGTAATGTTTGAAAATATGCTAAATTATGATGTTGTAATGATCCGTTCGGACCTGTCAGAAAAGATGCAACGACAGCATTTGGTGACGTCAAGTTCGGGGAGGTGTGCAGATGTTTACTCTTTGCCTTTAAAGTGGTCTGTTTGTCAGAGGTTTAGTGTGTGGAGTTTCAATCTAAGGTGTCCACTATTGTGACACTTAAAATCGGGTTTCCTTTGTTTGTTGTTTCGACGAAGGTCAACAGAATCGCGGGGTCGGCTTTTTATTTATTTATTTGTTTGTTTTAGGTGTAACTAAAGTCATTTATTCATACTGTTATATTTCATCCAAAGCACTTCTAACTAGTAATGGTCTTCATGGTTACTAGGAGTTGATTCAATTGGACCTTGCTTGTGGTTGGTCATTTGGCGTGCATTGGTCACCAAGTGGAAACAGCCTGGCCTATGTTGGTGAGTCGAATAAAGCTTTTATATCCCCTCACACTTTAACCTTCATAAATTTTTCTAACAAGTAAACAACAGGATATTGTTGTGTTCTGGAAGTTATGTATCTTGTTTTAATGAAACTCTCCGCCTAGTTTCTTTTACAGAAACGGAATCGAACTACCAGCATTTATATTCTTGATCGGATTGGATCAGTTTTCATTATCTATGATCTCCTTGCCTGGCAGTTCAGTATTTGATTTTTTGCAACAGGTTAATGTGATGTTACTTGTTCCAGTATTCAACTTGTGCTCATGTGCTTGGTATTTGTGAAGGACATGATTCGACCATTCATTTTGTTACGGATGTTGGGCCAAACCCACGTGCTCGTTCAATAAGCCTTCGCCATTTACCCCTGCGTGATGTAGGTCAGCTATGCCCGACTAGCATCCTTTATTAAAATTGTGGTTTATGAATCTAGATAATTCAACAGAAACTTCCTGTAGGATTTTTGGGTAAATTATGGGGGTTCTCAACTTAAAGGTCATCATGGTTCGAAAAGATTGTCCTGAATTGAGACTGGGCACAACTTATCTTTCGCTATGCTTTGTTTGGAAGTAGTGTCACTAATATCGAAGACTACGTCTTGTAACAATTTTATCTTGAGCGAATTCTTAGCCAGGCGGCTGTTGGTACGTGAAACTGGTGAGAATGTGAATTGGATCTGGAAATCGTGATTATGTTGCTTATTGTACCTCGCGGTTTGTAGGTTCTGTTCTTATCAGAGACAAGATTAGTAGCTGGAGGATTTGATTGCAATCCCATGCTATTTGGATCTGATAAAAGTCGTATTTGGTACATTGACTACCATATTCTCAAGATTTTGGTGTTGAAATGATGTATCGTCCACAATTGCTCCTGCATGTTTTGCGAGAGACTACTGAGTAAGATTTCTTTTTGTATTTGATACGGGCATGCTTAATTATCTTTCTTATTTGCCCCTGTTTTTTTTGAATTCTAGGGAATTCATTTCTTTTTTGGACGAGGTGAAACGTCCTGCGGAGACCAAGACTGATACCGTGGTACGAGTTCAATATCAGGAATAGAGGAATTCGTTTGATTAATTAAGGATCTCCTAATGGAATTTTATAGATGTTGAATATCTGCCACATGATTGTATGCATTGACAATTATCCTCTGCGTGTCTAGCTAAATAGCTTTGTGGGTTACTCTATGCGAGGTTCAGTTTGCTGCAGCGAAAGGTAAGTTCAAGTGGTTGGGCAGTGAGCCCTTTGAAGAAAATGCCCCCACCACCACTCATGAAAATTGCATCACGTAAGTCTTGTTTGAACGCTCCAGATTCAGCTTGTACTCAAGGCATCAAATTCGATTATCTGAGACTTCAATATGAACTCATGAAGTGCGAGTGTTATGTAAGTGACCTTGTTACTGGGCGATGCAGGATGATTCGTTCCCTCGCTCCTCTTTCAGAAAGAAACCCAGAAAAGTCTATTGAACGGTTCAGCACATCAGGTACTTCTATATGATTGCTTGCATTTATAGAGAGTTACCGCGGAACGTGCTTCATTTCTCTTATTACTTTTAAACCTACGGCAACACTGTGACATACATATGATGAGATTGTTGTGCAGGTCTTGATGGCAGGGTAGTTATCTGGGACTTGACAAACGTGGATGATGTTTTAGCTAGACTTCGAATATGACACAAGGTATTATTCATTGCACAGTATGTCTCGAAAATTGTTCCAAGTATGCTTCTCCATAATTTCATTAAAAAATGCGTTGCATGCTGCATCTTCTTATTTGACTTCTTTCAATCTTCCTTTATCGTGAAGTTACGATTAAAGTTAAACACCATAATTTTATTATTAAACCCAAGATTTTGTCTTAACTTGAGAGTGTAGGTAAGCAAAGTATGGAGCAAGCGATGATTTCCTTCAGTAGGAAAAAGTCAAGCATGTTTTGGAGGAATTAATGCCCAATGTCAAGCCCCAACCAAAGGAATGCTGTTGAGGGACTGAAGTCGAATATGGTTTCACGAGGAAGCAAAGACATCTGTGAGATGGAAGTTTAGTGTGGTTGAGTACGTTTAGCCAGTGTCCCAGTGCTCGGACTTATGACTAGGCTTAGTCCCATGACTTGTTTCATTCCCCTGCTGTTCTTATTCCCAGCTTTTGGAACATCACTGTCTAGACTGATCATGGAATGCTGTAATAGCAACGTCAGATTGGCTTATGTCAATTAATATAAACTGAGTAATAAAGTCCAGTACCTTCTCATTCTCGTTTGTGGAGCTGACGCAAGGTGAGTGGCGTCCTTGCCACGGTATTCTTTTTCAAGTGTGAAAAAGCATGATTTCTGACATGCTTTTCTGAGAATGAAGGTGATTCACGTTTTTCTATTGCTCGGCGGGTTCGTAGAAGTGTCCAGTTCTCTGTCATCATAGCCGATCAGGCAGCAAGAGATGGTGGGAATCATTTAAATGACTCTTCCTGCATAGTGCACCTAGACTTTCTAAGCATTTGCGTGGGTTGCCTTCCAGCTCCGAGTTGTGCATATCAAAATGCACCACTTTGATCAGAGTTGCAGGAAGTCTACTACCTTTGTGGGGCACAGTTGTCGTACTTAAACCTTGGTGTCTTCTAGTTTGTTCAGATTTCATGGGCAATTCAAGACAGCATTGAAGGCCACCAGTGCTACCACATCTTCCACAGCAAGTCCACGAGTGGGGATTGTAACGATCTCCATTGCAGGGTCTCCATCTAAGTATGTCTTGAATACCGAAGCTGACAGGAAATTCTAACTGATGCTTCTACGACACCATATGCCACGAGCAAGCCATCATCGTGAGACTAATGACCGTAGTCAACGTCGGAAGCGATTGTCCCACTGGACATACGAGTGGTACATATTTTTATCTCCACAATTCTAGGTTTGAATGTCAGGCGAGATACTGGAATTCCTTGAGAAGCTCGTTGGATCAGGGTAAGCAATGGTTAGCTTTGGTTATGCTTTAAAAAATCGAAAAAAAAGTCTGCTAACGTTTATTAACTACCTCATGTTGACCTCCAGATTTGATGGTTCTTGATCTGTCTGCTAGTCAGCCAACAGGAACCTCGCTTCAAAAATTCCTGAAGCACTTGCATTTGTAAGTCTTTGGGGTTACAACTTGTGACACTCTTGCTCTCTGGAGTGTGTAGTTGAAGCAAGGGTCTGAAATCGTTGAATGAGAGCCTATTGTCAAACAATTGGAGGTTGGTGGTAAAAAAAACGAGAGCTAACAGGAGGCAGGGAGTGAGAGAATGGAATAAAACACAACTCCTGCAGAATTGTCGGACATTTGTATAGACAAAAAAGTATAGATGTTGTGTCTTCAGGGATGCTCTTATTCTAATTATGATCGTAAGAAGATTTTTCTACTTTTTACTTTACTCAAATTTCAAGAGATTGTTGGAATTATTGGATAATGTTAAAGAGGATTAATAATGTAAGAAGCCTTCATTTATAATCTAATTTTAAATTGTTTCTTTTTCAACAAGATAATAAAATAAATATTTTCATTTAAAAAAAAATAGATTTCTACTATGATTACAATACCACAATTACTCATTCTTTCTTTACTATTTTTGTGCTTGATTTTAATGCTTTTAAATAATTTAGGTAGAATTAAAATCAAAATTCAATTAATCTTACAAACTTTCTTGTGCAATCAGAAGATTACAAAGCAACCTGTTGTTGACATCTCCTATAAATAAAAATTTAGTTAATGTACACATTACCAATAATAACTTGTGAAACTTTAAAATGGTACATTATGGTATTTGAGGGTTTTGTGCAACACCAAGATGTGATTTTCTTCTTATTACAATTGAATATTGTGTTTTGAACTATTATTATATTAAGTAAAACAAGTAAATTAAACACATTCTATTCTGCTTAACAATCAAAGATTTTGAAGTGAATCATGAACATAGTAGAAATCTATTTTTTTAAAATTTTGGAGTGAATCCATGTTTAAAAGTATCTGTTGAAAATTACATGGTACCCACTGCAATTATGAGTTAATATTATTTAATAAAAAATGTAGTTCATACTCATATTTATGCATAAAAATCTCTTCAATTATACACTCACAATTAATCACATAGGACAAATAAAGCCAAAAAAAAGTTTAAAATTATATACATTGTATTCACAAAGTAGTTATTTATTCCTTTGCTTTATTATTATTTTTTAGATAGAAAATTTGAAGGTATTAATATAAAAAAATCAAGGACTTTGTAGTAAAACATTTCAGTGTGTTTAGATTATAAAGTAGTAAAGCTTGCTTTTTCTCAACCATAGCTTAAATGTAATAATAAACCATTGAAAAATACAAAACCATCAAAAGATCAAGTTTTTTGAAGTTACAAACCTTTACAATCTTAAATTCCATTGTACAAGAATACAATACAATGTTTTCTTCAACTATATATTACCAACATTAAACTATATAATAAAAAGTATTGATTTTTTTTTTCTCATGTCTTTATTGAACTTTGTTTTTTTATAATATTAAAGAACATATTATAAATTATAATAAATTTATATAAATATATAGTATAGAATAATTTTTAAAATAATTATCTGATTTTACATGTGATGATAAAAGACACAATATACAACTTTTTTTTAAATAAAAAATATAAAACTAGTATTTTAAAAAATATTAACTTAATAATAAATAAAAATTAAAATACCAAAGTAGAATTCAAGATTTTCTTTTTTATTAAATATAAATAATAGTAAGTTACATATTACAAATTAATACAACAAATGCTTATCAATAAGTATGGTTAAGAGTTCAGCATTAAGACTAAAGTCAACCATTTAATTCTAATATCAGTTTGCTAGATTCAAAAAGATTAAAATTAATTAAGGTTTTTGGTCTTATATGCTATCCAATGGTTCCATCTTATTATTGATTATTTCTAAATCTCTTGTGTATGAAAAAAATCTTCATGTGTTTTATTTTTAAAAATATATATTTTATTTATCTTCTCCTATTTTTATTTTAAAGAAATTTCTTTAAGTATAAGACCTTTATTAGTATAATAGGTTAGGCCATTTATACTTTTACATCTATTCTTTATTTTAGCTATTAGACTTCTTATTGATAAAATCTCTAGAATATGCTTATGCTTTGTTTTTATATTCATTTTATTTGTCCTTATTGCTATTGAGTATTTTTTTTCTTTAATTTCAAGATGCAATTTATCATAATTTTTAACCAACTTGAGTGATAGGTGGCTCAATGGTACAACACCATAGTTTTTTAAAAACAATATTTTTAGAAGTTTTTAAGATTAACTAAGAATGTGGTTGTGCCACTATCAAATGTATAAATAGAAGTACATATACAAACAACAACAATTCTAGTATCAGCTTGGATTTTAAACTAAAAAAATACATATATATATATATATATATATATATATATTTCTTGTCTATAAAAAAATTATAATTTAGAAATTAGGTTAAAATAGATTCAAGATAAAGACTTCATATGTTATATGCATTTGAGATGTTGAGTTGAGGGACAAACCACACATAATGCAAACAATGACAAGAAACACATTGAGTTTAGAAATACATTTTGGAATGATGGTAGTAGCAAGAGAATAGAGGCAAAAGACAATCTTTACCAAGAATCTTCTTCTAGACTAAACTTATCACTAGTCTAGTTTTCTTATTAAAAACAAATACTAGAGATATGTTTACATCAACTTGGAAATACACTAAGTACATAGGTGTAGTAGGATCTCATCTTATCTTGAAGTTGGATTTACAACCCAAAAACAATGCATAAGAAGTTTAGAAATACATTTTTGGAAATCTTTAATAACTTAAGGTAGATTCCAATTATGCTAAATATTTCTTATGAGTTTTTTAAAAACCCTAAAAATATCTTATCACACTCTAATCAACTCCAATTAAATCTTAAATAATCCTTTAAAATCCTCATTTAATACTAAAGAAACCCTAATCAATCCTAAATAAATCATTAAGAAAATCTTAAAAATACCTTAAAATATCTAGTTAAATCTCTAATAAATTCTTTAGTAGATTAAAAAATTAATAATTAATAAATTAATTATTCATGTTAATTTAAAATTTCTACATTTTTTGATTTATTAGTTGAAAATAAGCATACAAAATTTGAAGAGAAGGAAACTTATAGATTGGGACTAAATGCTTTTAATCTGCTTATATCTTGGTCATTCTTCTCTTCCATTCTTGATGTCAATCTATCAACATCAATAACTATATTTTGCACTATTCACTTGCTATAAAAAAATTTATAAATATTAGAAATAAAGTCAACTATTAACTCACAAAAAAAATCATTTCAATCTAAGTAGCAAATTACTCAAAATCATAAAACTCCTTACTAATCTTCAAAATTTAATTTTTGAGACTCTAATTCTTTTGAATTTTAACAACCATTGATCTAATTGTCTTATCAAGCTCAATTTTGCAACACACATCCAATAAAATTATATTAAAAAATTTTAAAAAATTTACTTATGTATTTGCTATGAAACTTCAACATTTAGCAAAATTTAATCCTTCTTATTTTTAAAAATAAAATAAAATAAAATAAAAAACACCTAAAATAATCTTAACTTAGCAAAGCTTTCACAAAGTATTTAGAAAGTCATTATCTACTTAAATCCTGCAAAACCAATGTCTAAAAAAATCTTATTAAGTTTTCTCTCCATTCCATCTCTCTTATTAGCAAAAAAATCCCACATTTCTTGTAGGTCTATGGTTTTGTGCTTCTAGGTCTAATTTCAACCTTGATTCACAATAGGTTCCCTTTGGATATCAATATATGTTGGAAGCAATTTTTTAAATTTACCTAAATATGCTTATAATTTTATTTTTGCTAACCTACTTTATTTTGTCTTGTTTATGGTCCTACAAAGTAAGTAAAAGTCATCTTTATAAAAAAGAAATAATAGCATTTAATTATTTTATTACCTTTCTAATTTTTACTTATGTTTCTAAATTAATTTGCTACTATATTTCAATTGAATTCTTTCCTATTATAATTATTTTTTTTCTATTTCATCCAATAGTTGTGTTACAAAATAACATCAATTTAGAAGAGGTCCTTGGAATTGGTTCAAACAATAACAAAACTTTTGAGCTAAGATTTTCAATGTTTATTCAAGTAAGAAAAGATTAAGAAGTAGAAATTACTATCACTAATTATATGAAAATTAATTAATTTTAAAATAATATTAATGATAATAATAATAATCAATAATCAATAAGAACCATATACCAATTTGATATCAGTTCTATTTTATAATATAAAATAGAATTAAAGGGTGCCCAACACTTAATGCCATTAAAGATAGCAAGTCAAAGTTTAATGCACATGATTGGATTTTGAGACAATCAAACTATAAAAATAATAGTGACAAAGCAAAAAGAGATAATAATTAATGATATATAGAATTAGTAACTAGAAAAAAATGATAAAAAGTTAATAAAGAAGAATTTATAATGGTGATAAAAAAAAGAAGAAAAAACATCAACAAATTTTACAAAAAATAAATAAATAAAGAATAAACTATACATATAATAATTAAGATGTAATATGCCTAAAGATAAAAAAGAAGATCTATTTATCTCTCTCAAATCTCAAAGAAAATTAAATTTTAACAAAGATCAAGTCAATACAATAAATACAAAAAACTTAATTAAATTAAGGAAATTATATATATATATATATATATATATATATATGAATCAATAAAAGGACATAAAGCAATAAATAGTATCAAAGAAATATGAAAGTAAATGCTATATGAATAGTAATATTTATCCATGATGCATAATCTAAAACAAAGGGGATTTAATTGCAATATACCTAGTAGATTATACACACACATAGAAGAAATGTTTATTATAAATATAGACATATAGTGAATTTAAGCACAAAAAATACTTAATACACACCTTAAAAGTGTTTTCATATGATATGGATGTAGACACAATTTGTAAAATTTTAAAGATAGAAATATCTAATAATAAAATATTATAAAATTTATTAAGCAATAGATATAAATGTCTACATAGAAAAGAAACAACATAGTATAAACATAGATTACTTCCAACATACAACTAAAGAAATTGATAGTAGTGCTCAATGCATGAAGAAATTAATTTCATAAGGATTTATTTGCCATCAATAAGTATTAGAGCTAACTTTGTTGCAAAAAATAGTATTAGATTAGAATTATTAAGCAAAATGGGATCATAAAGTTAGAACACCAATAGTCCAAGAGTACAATATGAGCCAAAAAATAAAAATTTAAAAATAGAATCTAAATTTTGAATTGGTATTGATTCAAATTTATAAATAAAGATTAAGTTCTAAGATATGGCTTTAGATAGGCCATGTTTAGTTTTAAATTGTAAGATATTCAAAGACCAAAAAAAATTATTTTTTTCAATAGTATGGAATAATTTTTATATTAGAATGTATAATTGTTTCTTTTAGATATTTATATCAATTCTTCCAAGTCGACTAAATCACATAAAAATAGAATCCATTAGATTAAAGAAAAATATAGTCTATAATTAAAATATTTTATAGATAAAAATAAATTTAAAATCAAGATTTATATTTAATAAAATTAAAATTAAATTATAATTTAATTTGATTTATTAAAAAATTATTCAAGACAAAAATAGATTTTGTTAGAAGAGAGTCTACTATCTCCACAATTTAAAAAAAAAAAAGATTAGACTGGAGAGCTTCTATTAGGCCATGTTCTCTTAAATTGTCTTTAAAATAAGAGCTTTCATATTATTGATGAATATGAAATCATAATTTGTAATATCTAAACCTATTAATATAAAAAATCATAAAATTAAAGTATTATCTATGTTCTTGTATCTTAATAATATGGTAATTAAATCTCTTGCAATGAATCTAAATAATACAAATAACATAAATACAATTCAAGATTTTATTAAAATACTTGGAATAGTATAAAACAAATTAGCTAAATATAAAAAAGATAAATATATTATATTATTCTTTGAGACAATTGAATGTCAAAGTCTTAATCTTGAATTTTATTATTAGAACAACAAATGCATTATTATGACATACACAGCTCAACAAAGCTACAAACTCTTACAAAAATAACATCCTATTTAAAGCCTTATTTCTTTCAACTAAAAAGATAAATTGGATAGTAACCACAATATTAATTAAAAAGTTGCTTAGTTTGAAATATATCAAGCAAAGAAACCATGCTCAGTTTGATTATCTATTATAGATAATTTATTGTAGAAAATCCAATCTAATTTGAACATTACAAATCTTTTTCAAATGCAATGTAAAATTTAGATGCAATTCAAAAATATAATATTAATAAAGATGCATATTTGGATTAATCTAATAGAATATAGGAGCATGCTTTAAAACTTGCTAATTAAATAAATAAAATATTAACAAAATAATAGTAAGACTTTATTAAGAAGATATGATAGATCTTTGATTGCAAGTAATTTCTTTGGGAAAAAAATAGATAAGATAATTACATAAGATTTTAGAATTCCATCAAGAGAATTGATAGTCTTCAATAAAGAAAATAAAAACTAATTAAAAGTTGATAGGGATGTTTTAACTATGCTTTAAGTTCCACATCATACTCTTGGAAGCTCAAATTTTTTAGTAGCTTTTAACTAAAACTAATCTATGCAAAAAATTAAAATAAAATAAAAAATATATATATATATATATATATATATATATATATATATATATATATATATATATATATATATCTTTTGTGTTAAAAAAGAATAATCAAAATTTATAATTATTAGATTTTAATACATATTTTTATTCTTTAAAGATTGGGGCATTAAAACCTTCTCTTAAATCAAATTCTTTGCTATTTCATCCATAGTAAAATAATTTAAAATTTTAATCTAATGAATTTACATTTATAATTGATAAATTAATCACAGTAGCTTTTACTAAAAATAGATTTTAATAAAGATGTACCACATTTAGATAATTTTTAAATAAATTTTTTATTTTTTATGATTGTCTATAATCCATATTATACTTTGTTTTCCAAATTTAAAATTTTGTATTTTTTTTGTGAAGATGCAATTCAACTATGATATTTAATGCTTCTATTTGTAAAGCGGGCGGATCGCACGAGGCAGATGGGTTATATTCAAACCTCTCCCTCGATGCTGAGTCTTGTGCTGGATTGCCTTGTGTTGCGACTTCGAAACCCATGTGTTTTCCCTCATATCCTGGGCACCCACTAAGGACTATTTGAGAGAGAGCAGGTGTTGTCAAGGTTTCGCTTCAATATGAATCCTCGGCACAACTTCTTGTCGGTGTGAGATGCCAGAAACGTAGTGAAAAACCGCCTCAAGTTGAAACGACATGTGCAGCGAAGGTGCCCTTTCTGACATCCTATGAGTTGGAGTATTGAAACAAGGATGTGAGGTTTTCAATGATGGCTGAGTTTCAACAGTTGAGCCAGCAGTTCTTCAGGCCTGGAAGACTAGATGCAAACATGAAACTGTGCTTTGAAATCTATGCTAACTCTCACCACTTCATATCGTTCTGGGCATCGTATTCCTGAAATCTACTTGTCGTGTGCTTGGTGTCTTTCCCGACCTTAGTTTTAGAGTATATGCAACTTTCGGGAGTGGTCAGGAAACTGTCGATTCGGTCTGTTGTTAGTCGGTGAGAGAATCCGCCGTGGCGCATCAACGGACAACACCGTGGTAGTGTGGTGGACGTTTGAACCATCATCTTTCTTCCCAATCCAATACTCCGTTAACGCGTTCTAGGGTAGTTAAACCAGCTTCTGTAGGCCTTCACACTTCCTGTACTCGTTTTCCTATCTTTTCTTGTGCTGTTTCATCTGTAGCGTCTTCATCACAGTAATGGTTCAAAGAATTTGTGGTGAACCTCGCAGAAGAAACGCCTTGCAGCAAGCAGTTGCATCAGCCGTCATCGAGATGTGCCTCAATTAGCACGTAATATGGGTTCTTAGATCGAAACAAGTAGAGTAATGATCGTGCACAATGATCCATCTATACCACACATAGGGAACAAAATCTGAAAACTAGCACACACTTTGACGCAGAAGATTCTTCAAACTGATTTCACGCGACATGTTGAGAAGTTGACTTGCATAAATGGGCCTTTGAAGTGTTACTGGACAACATTCGCACTGCACTGGGTCAATGGTTTGCATGGAATCATGATCACTTGACATATACCTTCCCATGGTTGTATTGAGGTGGCTTCGTACGAAAGAGATAGACATTCGTTCCGATTCGGGAACAGAACGAGGAGGTATTAGTGAACAGATGGAGGCACATCTCATCAGATCTTGAAGAGCACAGTGTAAGTTTACCACCAGAGAGATGGTTCACATCCCTCCGCCAATGTTGAGAGAATGTGTGGTCAAGTGGGCACGGCGACGGTGTTCTTTTTTGTAGACGTCGGATTTCCGGGACCTTGACTATCACCACATAAATGAGTGAAAAGCAACAGTGCGGCCTACACATATGACGAACATGAGACACATTGAACACTGAGCAGTACTAATCCAAGGGAAGAATACGCGGGAGAACGAAAGCTAGGGTTGCGGTCCATTTCACCAGATTCTCTGGTTCAGTTAGGCTGCATATGTACAATGTTGCCAGTGTGCATTGCGCACACCAAACAATAGATCAGTAAATCTACTAACGTTCTAAGCAGGCACTAATCCGCAAATAAACTACGCTAATAGGGCCAAGCATCTACAGGGCCAATCGTTGGTATTAGACCCATCGGCACCCACTCAGAGACACCTACTGATACACTTTTGTACATGAGTTATCCTACTTCTACTGTCATTTTCGGCGGCTCCTCGCGCTAGATTGATTCAACTCGTTGCGCATCGAAGTCGCCAGGCCCACAAGGGTTAGCAACTCCACGACGAGACAGCCATGACGGGGGTATCTTGCCACCCCATGATCAGCACACCGAACTCTTCTGAAAGCTTATACGTCGGGGTTTCCCCTGTGACGAAATACCCGAGCAGAAGTTGCGCCTGTTGCACGGCATATGAACTCAAAGGCCGGTTGCGGAATCCACATTTCGTGAAATGACTCTGCCAAGTTTCGGATTTGACGTGGCGGGCACCGCGGCCGCTGCCCTCCAAAGCAACAATGCCCCGTATCTCTGAAGCTAAGGTGATGTTTTCGATGCGGAACCTGTCAGGGCTGTCGCTGCTTACAGAAGCTTCCAGGGCATCGAAGAGGGCGCAGTAGTAATGGAGAGCCTCCACGAACCTAGATATGAGGTTGGCGCCATTGTGGTTTGCTTCGACTTCGAGAAGAGTGACCACCTCAGGATTAAGGCTGCGTAGTAGCAGCAAGAGCTTCTGAAGAACAGCTTCACTGCCAGAGAGACGATGCAGAACTTGGGAGCAATTGACGGCGAGAGCTTCGTCAGGCTCTATCTGGAACTTTTCCTTATCAAGGTTGTCCAAGTCTTCGACTAATACAATCAACTCAAAGGGCACTTCAAGTGCTTGGGCAAATTCGGACAGCCGCCGCTTGGTTAATTGCAACGATGCAGCATTCGTTCCTACGGCGGTTATCTTCAAACTCGGCGGACCTCCAGGTCGAAGAGCCAGCGTCTGGAGGAAAGACGGCCATTGCAAACCTTGTTGGATATCCAGGTCCACCACATGAATCTTGTTGTGGTAACCAACAGCCTCAAATATTGCTTGATTAGCAGTGAAATGGGTGAATTTGGCGAAAGGGAGAACCTCATAGAACGACTGATAGGCAAGGTCAGTGTCCAGCTCCACAGGCGATGAGATCGGAGCAGCTGAAACTGGAGTCTCTGATTCCTTGGTTAGTCGATCACTCAAAGCATCGGCGAAGTAGAGCGAAATTCTTTGCATGGGGTCTCCGTATGGGTTCGAAATGGCTTTCAGACGACTCAGCATAGGCCGAGCAGTGTCGAAATTGGACTCTTCGATGGCTTCAGCACAAGCCAACAGAAGGTGTACCAGTTGAAGCCCACTGTCGAGGGGCTGTTGCACCTCAAGGGGATTGGACTCCCAGTTCTGTGATCCACTGTACCCAGGCTCGTAAGAGACATCGCTTCCTGGAGTAGACGATGCATCGCTAGATTGAACCTCCCCTACTCCAATTCCTGGGGCGGAATCTATCATTGATGATAGGGAGTCACCTAATTCCAGCAGCCTGTGGGCATCTTGAAATCCTTCGGGGAAGTTGAGAAATTTCGGCTCGTCCATAAGACAGAGCCCGGGATCAGAGAGCATGTAATTCGCAAAGGCCTCATGGTCGTTATCGTCCAAGCTCAGCTCGAAGCCAAAATCGATGTCTGCGTTCACAAAATGGTCAATTCCAGTCTCGATGCCTCCATCTAATTTCACCTCTGCCTGACGAACCTCCCCACCCTCCTCACATTTGGAGAAGTCTGTGAGCGCCAGGGGTCCATTAGGATCCTCCATACATTCCATCCAGCTGGCAATATCATGGTCATTGTGCACGCTCTCAACAGTCGAGACGGGGAGCAGTTCACTGGAGGTTTGGTCCTCGCTGCATATGTCAGTTCCAGCGAGAGAAGGGAAGCTGGTTTCGTCACCGGAAAGACTGGAATGGGATGACAAAGAGCCCGAGGAGGACGACCGCCCCGGACTGGTTTGTAAATCCAGGACTGAAGTGGGCTCCTGCAGTGTTATCGGGTCTTCCTGCTTCACACAAGCTGACCCTTCCGCTGCTTCTGCTGCTGCAGAGGTCGCTGCAACCGGGGCCACGCCCTCGATTGCCCAGCTGGATTGAGATTTCCATCGCTTTGCCGATGGACCTACTTCAACAGGGCACGACCGCTTGGACAAAATTTGGAGAGTCATTGTTTGGAAGTGTCTAGTAAAAATTGTTAAATGGAGAAGTTGCGTGCCTCCCAGATGAACAATTTCACAAATCCAGACATGAGAGATGATGGACTAACAACTTCCTGGCACATTGTCTGAAGGTTTACCACCTAAGCTTACCCAGAGAGACGCTACTAATGAGAACCACTTGAAACTCACAATCATCTAAAATCTACACAATACACCTCCAATGAAGCAGAAGTTATGAACCTGAGAGTAAAGTGTTGTAACTACATCAAATTCGCGAGGTGTCAGAGGAAGCTCTCTTGAATCTGAACCTTAGAAAGCGAGGAAATGAAACTACACACAGCCTGAAATTTGGAGCATAGGTGAAGGAGAAGGAATCCACTGCAAAGTGATCAAGAGGCTCAATGCTCAAGTACAGGCTCCGCAATGCAAACTACTGTCCTTAAGACTTTACTGATGGAATGGCGGTTCAGAACAGAGAAGATTACACCGAAGACGATGCACAGGCTGTATGCTCTTCACCAGCTCGAGGTGGCGATCGGTAGTGAGGGTGCCACAACAGACCTGAGCTGAAACACGGAAAGATCAAGCACTTGCACTCCACCAACACCGAAGACAGACAGTCCAGTTGGAATAAGCAACACAACCAGCAATCACCGGCTAAAAGGACCGCTCTCATCAACTGGAATGAACCGTGCTAAAAAAGGGGGTGCAGAGAATAAGCATCCGAGTCTAGAAATTTGGGCTCCCGCAGCGAATCACGTGCCTCGACCAGAAAGCCCCGGAATGATTACGTCTGTGATGGAAAACTATGATGACGAGTTGCCAGATGCCTCTTTGCTTTTCTTTTCGATCTTTAACCCTCCCTGCTGGTGTACTTCCCCGATGATGGCTCCCCACTGACGAGAAGAGATCCGTCCTGCGAGGGGGGGTTGTTGTTGCCCTGTTTACCAACTCGAGATTCTCGACAATTGACAATCGCGAGTAAATCAGGAAGACCGACTCTGGAGGATCATAACCATCGGGCCAGAGCCAGTGGCCCTTTCAGCTGGTGTGTGCAGGATCAGCGGCACCCGGTCCATTCATCCGGTCATCCTAGGCACGATGCCGCCTTATTCTGTGCGGCATCGCTTCGTTCGAGGCTAGGTGTCCAGGTATTCTACGGGGCTCCCGTCGTCGACGGGGAATCTGCTCGCGTGAAATTCAGAAACTTCGGAGCAGTACCTCCCGGGAAAGAAGCGGTCTCCAGCCTCCGCAACTTGAATTTTACCGGGAACCACTTTGATCTAGTCTTCTTCATCGCTGTGACCACGAGGGCCAGTCAGCCATCCAGCCCGCCCGGGTCAGCTCCCAGTTGTACTTTCTCCTACTGCAGGTCCACAGGTCTAAAACTGTGGAACCCCTTTCGCAATCTAAGCCTTACACGCCGAAGAATTAGCATCGCATCACAAATTTGTGACCGTCGCAATCAGTCACGGTCCAGCCAGTCCAGTTCAGCAGTCGACTGTGAACCCAAATCTAGACGTGACTTGTGGACTCACTTCCCTGTCTGCGCTGGTTAGAAACACTGCAACTCTACGGCGTATCGACGCCAATGCACAAGCTGCTGATACGCCTCTTCAATCTTACCGGTATTCTGATACAGCGTCGCTGAACTCCGTTGATTGTTTGTGCTCTGATTCTTGTTTCTTTTGTAAAAAACTGCTAGATTGTGTATGTATGTGAGTGTGTGTGTTTTGTGTTTACATATTCATACGAACAAACAAAAAGAGGGGAGGTTTTTAGGTGGAATTCAACCCGTGCTGTAGTACACGGGATGTTTCAAATGGAGTTTCGTGGAGGTACAATGTTGTGAAGAGAGCTTAGGTAAAAAATCAATGGGTCTGAAAAGTTGTGTTGGCTTACAATACATGTAACCACATGTGGCGTACATGCTTGTCAGTGAACAAGATTCAGTAAGAGCTTGAAAGATCATGAATCTGATGCTACAATGTTAAAAAAAAAATAAGTGTGAGTTTATATATATATATATATATATATATACATTTATAACAGTGACTCATATTCCTTCTACCTCATAGGTTTCATTAAAACAACCAACATTCTATCCTACTGTCAATAACATATAACATGTGTCATTCTTGGTATAAGAGATGTCAAAAACATGATGTTTTTTTGTGCATTAATGGTCTTTCCACTGTAAGTTTTATTGTGATATTTATTTTATGAAAATATAAGTAATAAATTTTTGAAACAGAATTGTTAATTCTTGAGTTCTTCATAGCAACACTGATATCGTCAACTTTATATATAATAATAATAATAATAATAAATATTCCATAAAAAGTAAACAACAACTTAACTTATTTCAATTAAATTATATCTCTTTTTATCTCTACGTTTCAATGCAAGCAACACCATGCTGTGAACCAAATATAATGATATTTGTTCTTTATTAATGGTTGATCCTTCATATTAACTGACAACTTGTGTGAAAACATTAAACCTGTTTAGCATATTGGCACCCTAAAGATATATTCTCACATTACATTCAAACTAACACATGATTTGTTTTAAGCTTTTCTGGTGTATGTACATGTAAGAACATACATGTATGCATATCAAAAGATTTTTTTTTATTTTTATTTCTTAAAAGTTCTTTGCACAAACTATGAAATATAGAATGAGCTTTTGGTCATGATTTCACTGATGATTTTCAGAGTATTGGGTTCATACCGTTCTGAATGAAAAAACTGTTCAACTATGTCATAGTGAAACTTAATGCATGATTGGTATGTTGCAACTAAGCAGCTCTGTTTTAGAACAAACACAATGATTCAATTAATAAGCATTTCTAACTTTGAATGGGGACTAATATTCAGTTTGTACTACTTTTGAATTATTTGATTCTAATGTCATATTCTGTGATGCCTTAATAGTTGAAATATGAAATCATTCATTTCAGCAGTGATTATTCTGACAAATAAAAAATAAATGAAAAAAACTATACATGAATTAGCTGTACCTCTGGGATGATTTAAATATGAATTTATCTATACGAAGATACCCAAAAAGAAATCATTTAAAAACATCAAAATAATTGGGTGTTGGAATATCTTATTAACAATCAACATCATGATACAGGGGTTCATTCAATTAATGATTCATTTATTTTTCAACTATAATTAAATGGTGGATTTTTTAATATACATAATATGGTAATAATATACTAGAACATATTATCAAGCCGTAAATTTCAGTCTTAAATCTTCAATAGTTGTTTCCATCAAAATGGCACACATCAACAATGAATTCTTTGCTCTATATATACGTGACATTTTTTGTGTCACTACATGTTAAGAAATATTAAAAGAAATGGATATACAAACACATACAAATCATGCACAAACAGACAAGTTATCAATGTAATCAGGTACAGTGTACCTCTATTTTTCAAAGAATTTTCAAAGAACAAGCACCACTATATATATATATATATATATATAGTAACATAAAATCCTTGTTCATTCTTTGAATAGACCTTTTTAAAATCAATCAGGAACACAGAAGAAGAGATAAATGAAACTAAAACACAAGGCTTGATACTGGTACCAATTTATGATTAAGATATATTTTTTCAAGTAATGATACTTCAGAAAATGTTGTATTACAATCAGAATGATTTCATTATTTTTAAAACATGATCTTCCACCACTTTCAACACCAGACCATTTCAAATTACCTACTTCATAAACTTTTGGTATTTTGCATACATCTTCCCAGACTTTTTCCTTTTTTCCTTTTTCTTTTCCTTTTCTTTTATTATTTTTGGTCTCTCAAACAATGGAGAATTAAAACAAAAGTGAAATAGAACAGTGTGCCGTGTTAAAAATACCATTGAATTTTTTTTTAAAAAATCTTGATATTATTCAATTTAACTTTTACATACTAGTAAAAACATATAACGAAAATTTCAAAAAAAGTCATTGACCACTTTTTGGAAAGTGGGTTACAAAATTCCACCAGTGGTTTCTTTTAGAACCAGCTGATGGCGTCATAATTCTCAATGCCTAGATAGTCTTTGTATGGATTCTATTCTACAATTATGACGTCATCAGCTGATTCTAAAAACGTCATGGATATAGATGAAAATGGGGATGGATTCGGGAAGTTTCATCCATCCAATATACATCCATCCATCTTGGCAAATAAACAAAGTCCTGGCCTCATTCATCCGTTAACCATTCTTACACCTACCCATCTATCCATTCATCCATCCATGAAAGGAACCCATAAGACTCTTATGGATGGGGAATCCTGGCATCATTCATCCATTAACCCATTCTTCCTACATTCACCCATGTAGGTTCATCCCTCGTGGACAAGTCTGAACCCTAACACTAGCCTTCGCTTCATTCCGACCCCCTCCCCCCCCCCCTCATTGGATCCAAGTTGTGATATTAGACAAGACTCACGCCCCCCATTTCAGAATCCCATTTGTCCCCCTTCTGTAGTTATTTATAAGTTTATTATTTCGCGCTCCTCTTCTCCATTGATTTTAACTCTTGATTTTTTATTTGGATAGTATCTGGGTTGTGTCCAGTGAGATGGGCTCACGTGGCGGAATTGGGTTGGCTTGCAAGAAATGCCAGATCAGCTTTCTGTTGGGGGAAAATATCTGAGCTGGGGGGTGCAGATCAGACAAAGTTTTAATTAAATGAATGGACTTGGGTTCTGTTCCCACGTTGCCAAAGGATCTCCTCCTCTCGTTTGGGAAACTCCTTTTCATATTCGACTGACCTGGCCCAATGGGTTGGGTTGGATTGGGTTCAGGGTTTTATTTTTTATTTTTTATTTATGTTTTTACTCGGCCGGGTGACACTCTTTGGTGCAAGTGGTATGGCGATGAATAAAATCTTGGGCATGAATTGTTACACAAGTGGCAATGGATTATCGATCTTTTCTGCGATCTTTTTAGTGGGGAAAAATAAATAAATAAATAAATAAATAAATAAATAACAAATAGAAGAAAAATACAATCGCCATCACATCTAGCTTTCAAACAAGCTCATTATTTACTTTCTGAAAAAGATTAATATTGGATGTGAGGGATTACAAAATAAAGTAAAACCAATATCAGACAATAATGTTTTGTACAAACATCATGTATAAACATCTTACCACTAAATACCTTCCTACTTCAGGTGCAATTTGCCAATTCCTCAAACTCTCCATTCCTCAAAATTTCCTACTAGGAAATGGATCCACTTGTCTTTTACGTTTTCGATTGCTGTCCACGCCCAGATCAGTAGTTCATCTACCACAATCCATCCAACAGCGGTGAAATCCATCCACCTGCGATATAGAGGAAGACAAGAGCGAGAGACGGAAGCATTCAACCCGGCCCGGGCTCAATTATGCGGCTCCTCCAGGACGTGCGTGACCCTCCGCAATGACAGAGGAAGCTTCCGGGACGCTTCTACGACGCGCCATGATTGGTCGCGGATTCCAATGCAGCACGAATACCGAAACAGAGGCTTGGCCACCAGTGACGCGCAGGGTTGAGAGGAAGGCACGGGCTCGGGTAGGGCCCGACCCGACCTGACCCGATCCCACCCGACCCGATGCAACGGCAATCCAGCTCGTTGAGCAACCGGTGCACGGCGCCTCGGAGGCACCGGCACATCCGGTGATCCTGCACATGGGGGAGCCCTAAGTTTAGCCCTGCTGCTGCCGTCTTTATCCCCTATTTTCTGAAACTTATCCGGACGAGGGGAACGGGAAGGGAACGAGAGAGCGACCACTTCGTCGTCTGTCCCAACACAGTCGGATCGGATGACAACGGAAGGTGGAGATCATTCCACCGAGACATTATCGAGAATTAGGGTTTGGGGCTTCGACCTTCTTTCCGGGTTACTTTTTCCCCCACCATTGACTCGATCGAGTCCCCTGTGTTCTTAGAGGGGGTGAACGAGTGCGTGCCTACATCGGCTGACGTGGAAACTGTCCCTTCAGGGTGCTCCCTGTTGGTGAGCCAAGAGCTAGGCTGTGGAATGTCTATACTCAGGATTTGGCTCCTCCTCCTCCGTGCAATATATCCCGATGTCTCTCATTTCCCACACTTCTTTGTTTACCTTCTGTAGAAAGTGGTGAATATATTTATATGTACGGGTTTAATGTTCTCTCCTCCTCATGGAATTACTACTGTCCGGGTACATGGCACACTTCCAATGTGTAAAGGCGGGAAGCTGTGGCAAGCGTCGAAAGGACGCATCGTGTTTGGAGCCAGGGTTCAAGAAAAAGGAAGAACGGAAAAGTGTTCATGTGGATGGATGAGCGGGTGTATGTGTAGATGAGCAGAGATGAATGAATGGATGGAGGGGACTTACCTGCAAGATTGTGGCAAATCCTCCCTGGGAGCTGTGCCGGTGGTCTGGCCCAGCCCTGGCCCCACTGAGCTCTGCCTCACACTGCACTACTGCTCGCTCGCTCGATCGCCTCTGAACTTTCACTTTATTTGAACCTGAACCTTTCGCTTTTGTCCTGGTCGATCCGTTCACTTTTATCTTGTTCATGACTCCCCCCGCCTTTTTCAGGACCATTGGTTTCTGGGGTTTGACCGACAAATTGCAAGTCTCACTCTCTCTGAAGAACTTTTTGTTTGTTTGTTATATTTTTGTCCCCTTCATAATTTACAGTACGATTTCATTTGTAATTGACATTAAAATTGACCGATGTATCAAATTTTCATTAAAAGAACGAGCTTCAAGCAGTAACATTGGGAAGTTGATATATGTATATCTATATTTTGTGGGGCACTATTTATAATGCTCTGTTTTATTATTGCAACGCCGCTTCAAGTTGAATGTGCAAGAACATATTATGATGTTTTAATAATTGCAAACGAATGAGATCGGGTACAAAGAGACATATATAGCCAATGTTGCAGGGTAATAATGCTATCATTAACATTATAAAAGGAATATTCTCTTATCATAATACTTATAAATGGCATTCCACGTTAACTTTAAAAGAAGATAATGATCTGCATATTATTTATCAAGGGTTGGGAGGCTTGCGAGGAAAGACCCCGGTGATTTTATTATAGGCACGAAATGGCCAATCGGCCCCGAATAGAGCGAACGAGCTTGGGCATGGAAACGCAATCGCCGCGGAGAAGAGATGCCGAAGTAGCAACGACGTCCGTTTGGCAGGTTGGATTGGTGCGTAATAGATGGACATAAGAACGGAGGGGAGGAAGTCAAGGAGGAGGGGGCGGAGCAGAAGAAGAAGGCGAAGAAAATGACGAAGATGAAGATGGATTCGATGAGAAAAGGTGGGGGGAGGGGGCAGACTGCTACAGGCACTGCTCCGACAACCAACCTGCGCCAGAGGGTTCTGGTCGACGCAAAAGAACCGCGACGGGGCAATCGAAGAAGCCTCACTGCCTCATTGCCAACCCCGAACTAAAAGCACACTTATAGTCTCTCTTTGTGTTCCATTCCCTTGCTCCATGCGCAAAATTAGAACCAAAACCCTGATAAACACTTCAACACAAAAACAGACGCAGCAGCCAGAGCAGATAGACATGGGCGTAAATAGTAGCAGTTGTGGTTCCGGGATAAGCTACCTCCATAGCAACGGCACTGTAGGATTCGCCGATTTTGGGAGAATGCCGAATTTGAACCAGCATATTCCTTGGCCTTATTTCTGGACTTTCGAGCATATGTAAAACATATTTTAGAAGTCCCTTTTTGTTCTGATTGGGAAACCAAAGAAAGGGGGATTAAATTCACAGCACTCAGCAAGAGTAGGGCTAATTTCGATATGTTCTAACTGAATAGTCCGAACAACCTTCAACTATGCCAGATTATATCAGAAGATGGCAAGTAGTTTTAGAGATGAGTTGGTGGTTTGAAGCACAGTTGTGAATTTCTGACTTTACCTTGCAGAAAAGTAGCACAAGAGCTCGTTATTTTAAATATGACAATCAAATGGAACTAGCAATTGAGTTGCAGTTATTGAGTATTACAACGTTGTTTTGTTATTATCATTATTTATTTATTATGAGCTTAAAGAAATTTTGAGTATACTTACGAACATGTGTACATTCACAGACATCAGACAACATTGGGGGTGGTATGAAATCGAGATCCCTATCAAGTTATGTTTTGTTTTTAATAAAGGACCAAGTCAATATTTCGAAGGAAAAAGGATTGATTTAGCAACATATGTAACTTGTCAACAATGATTTAGAATACATATTCGAATTATTTTGATTCCTTGTTAATAAAAAATGACAAAAAATTAAGTAATATTAATAAAAAAAATATACATATATATTTAAAGATATGACGTTATCATGAAGCCAATATCACCAGAATATTGAGCACTATTGGGAAATCAGTATCAACTTACTCCATTTTTTAATGAGTCTACGTGGCGCTAAAAATCTCGCTACTATGGGCACTACCAAGATAACTCCACAAATAGCCTCGTACACGAATACGCCAGCGTATTAAAAACGGAGGTAATATCGGATACGAGAACTTGACCCTTTCGCATACGGCGAAGGGGGAGGGGAGGGGACGGGCGTGGAGCCCACACCCCCTTGCCACTACCATACAGTGTATGACGACCCGTCGTGCAGGACCCGCCCACTTGGCCCTGCCCCCAATCTTTAGCCCGCGCACGCTTGGATGGGACCCACATCCTTTCCCCCTCGCCCTTTGCACGTGATCTCCCTCCAGTTGGCAGAATTCAGTTGGTTGCATCCAATCCGACGTAGCGGGCATGCCAGGCTGGCAATGGATGGGGTAAGTTTGGGTTTGTTTTACCCTAGGACGGGTGAAGGGGGCGGTGCACCCATGGACAGACTTAGCCCACCTATCACCACGTTGTTCAGAAACCGAGGGGGCTATACCGGCCCGTAGGGTGCAGTAGAGCTCATGATGGCAAGGGAGGGGTTGTGGGGGGGGGGGGGCACGACCACGGGGTCTTTTATTGGTGGGGTCGGGTTTAGGAGTAGCATTGTCCCCCTAGGATCCCAATTACGTCCTGAACTTGGGTTCTGTTCACACTGCGTCTCGTATTTCTATGAGAGTTTCCCGGAGTCTGCCTGGCCATGGTTGCTTAAAGGAGACTAGTGCTAGTTGCGGTTTCAGGAAATCTACTCCGGAGAAGCGGAGAAGAACCGGAAGAGAGCGATCTAGGGGTTTTTGGGTACCGAGGTTGCGACGTGTGTAGACTCGCTTTCATTCTTCAAGCGAGATATGGCGTGATCCTGTTATCCATAACGCAAACACTGAAATACACACATATACACAAACACGAACACACTCATACAAACATCCATGTTTTATGGATTAGATTCGTGAGATTCGAAGTACACTTAGGGGCCCAGGTTTCGGGTTGAAGTCAAGCCCCTGTGGCACAAGCTGGAGAGTCTCGCACCAGTGCTGGGTTCAATTTGATTTCGGTTTCAACCTCATTGGAACATAGCACCCATCTTTGGACAATTCCCAATAAACTTAAGTTTATTTAAAGCAACATCAGAAATGGCTATTAGTGGAAGATTGGTGGTGAAGAATTGATGGGGGATTAGTACTCGGAATTGAGAAGACCAAATGCGGAGCTAAATGAAGAAAACGTTCTCATACTACTATATTCAACTATGGTCTTTGAAGTTGTTAAGGGAGAATGAGAATTACTGATTTTGTCTTCTGAGCTCGTGAGAGACCTTGTGATTAGGTCTTAACATAAGTGTTCTAAACACGGGGTGTCATTTGCAGAAGAGTATTGAGAAAAGGTTGGAAAGAATGACGAGGATTAATTGCTGGGGGGCCAAAAAGGGGATAGATTGTGTATGTAGCCAACAAAATGGGGAGTGATAATGTGGAAGGTCGAGACAGTGAAAAGCTGTGGAGGAGGTTTGAATTGTGATAACACCTCTGTTTTCCCTGTTTTATCTCTTAAGGGGGTGGGGCTTTCCCTTGCTTCTCTCCCTTTCTTTCTCTACTTTTTCCCCTCTCGTCTAATGGAGACATGATCACTTTTTGAGATTTTTTCCCCGTCTTTTTTCTTTAGTGCTCTTTACAATTGCACCCTCACTTGGCCTACATTTCTGGCCTGTGCAACCCACTTGCTAGATAGCTTCATCAATGGACACCTTCACTGGCTTCAGAACATAACTGCCTTAAATCCCAAAATATCCGTTATTTATTTACTTTCCTGAGCGGGTTACGTGTTTTATGATCCTCCACCAGCAGGATTGCCGTAGTCGATTCCAAACATAATCTGCCCTGTTGTATCATTGCCTTGCAGTCGAACCAATCACCTATGCAGTCAAATTAACAGTACAATTGTTTCTCTTGAACTGACCGGAGGTTGGACCTTCATTCAGAAATTCTGGTATCTTGCAACAAACTTGAATGTGATTGTACTCCAAATACACTCAATAGGTACTTGTACCTCATACTTAAAGGTGCATAATGAAAAAAGCACATCACCGTTCTCTGATCCAGAATTGGTATAAAGGTTGTTCCATGAGGTAGGTGAACATTTTTTTGAGCCAGAAGGGGAGCTAATTCTGTCTGGCCTGACGGGGCTATTTCAGAATGTAAATCAGCAATGCTTCTCAGGGTCAGATTTTGCTTGCTTTTGCAGAGAATGGCAGACAGAAAAAAGGTTTGGTGGGAGGCTGATAGCGAAATCAATCTAATTTGTTTTACTTCGTCTACTCGCACACCAAGATGATATTAGCGAGCTCCAGGACATTGATGGTTGCAATGCCGACAAGACACACAACACCAAACAAGCACATCCCAAGTACTGCGGCCTTCTTGGAGGCACTCAGCTCCTCCTTGTACAACCTGCCCCATAAATGAAAATCCAAAACATGTCAATTGATGTAGGTGTGCAATATATTCTGATGACTGTACATAGTGCGCAGCACATGGCGAACGAGTCCGGACGCACAAGGCAACTAATACATATTTGAGCAGTCCCACAACTACACTTCAAAGAAACTGCAAAACTTTAACCTCATCAGCTAGACGAATACCCCTTAACAACCTTCAGATATAGAGTTATAGAAAAACCCCGCAAAAACAATTGGAAACATTGATTTCCCAGGAAGTGCATGTCACAAGGGAGTTGGATGAGAGTTGGATGGGTTGATTACTTGTAGTAGAAAAGGGATGGAAGTAGGAGAGACACTGAAACTGAGCACACTCCCCCAACAGTGGATTCCACGCTTCCCAGCACATTGTACCTGTGCATGTTACCAAAGTACCCTATCTTAGGATGAAACTAGACCATGCTAGGATACTGCTTGGTGTGATTCAGAGACTGTATCCAGCAAAAACCACAAGTCATTTAACTTACGCGAGGATGGCCACCATGTAGGCTAGGCCCATCACTATCGTTCTGGCGATTAGATCGGCTGCACCTGCAAGACAGGACCAGTGATTAGTTTTTATTACAAGTTAGTTTTAACGAAGAATCTGAGTATTCAATCCAAACATATGCACAACCGAGGGAACAACTTTAACTTCCTTACTTGAGATGGCAAGAACTGAGAAATGCATTACAAAAGAGATTCCTTGTGGCGAATCCTGAACTTCGAAGGTCACAGAGATGGTTTACACCCTTTCCGTGACGTACCTCAGCAGAAACAAGTCAATTTAGATACCTGGAGAACGGTTCTGCTGATGGGAAGAGGTAGTTCCATAAATCATGTCCATTATCAATTCTGCTATAACATATATGAGTGCCTGCGACCACACCCATTTAGATAAGCGTTTAGAAAGCGACGAATTGACGTCCACAGTATGTATTGGGACCAGCCCGGACGCAGGTAATCATGGCAGCCGTGTTACTAGGTAAGCATGCGTGTGGCTTGCTATACGAGCAGCAGTAAAAAAAAATATGTGCAAGAAGTTGTTTACACTCAACCGCACTGCGTTTGGCTAAAGCTACAAACCAAGATAAGTGAGGATCTTCCAGCTCTTCAACTATCAGAGGAAGGAATTCATGCTTGCATAACGTACAGGAATTGTTGAGTATGCGCTCATAGCCACCAGTACAGTGACCGCCTCATTGATAGTAATCCTTAATTTGCCAAGACTTAGCAGAACAAACCCCGTCACCCCAGAGGCTTCGTTCAAGTTTGCGGTCACCAAGACCTTCAGAGCACCTCCAAAGTAGAAATACGAAATGGACCCCATCGTGGCATATCTGGCACCCAGCTGCTCGTGAGCAACATAATAATATGTTCAAAACGGAAACCGTTTAAGGAGCTGCCATTCACAATAGGACCTTGGGATTCAAACATTTGCCACACATGTCGAGCCAGTTATAGGTATATTCCAATCAAGCGAAGGATGGCATGTAAAATGAGGGAGGAAGACGTACAAGAGGAACATCAAAGTGAATGCCACGTTTAAGCAATGCTCAAAGTTTTGTGGATTCTTCATGCTTCGTCGCATTGAAGGTAGGCCCGCATGACCTGAATTAGGAAGTGATAAGGTAAAGTACAAACTTTGTGAGGAACCCTCTAATTTCTAAACTTTAGAAGACATGGGTAGCGTAGTTTAACACTCCGATTAAAATCCAGAAATATAGAGAAAGTTATATCAGGATCCACGGAGGGTTACCATGCAAACAAACTTCTCTTAGCAATAGATACTCAATGCAGTTTAAAAATGGCATTGAATGTACCGGAGAGGGAGACAACCAGTATGCCAGCTCCAATGGGTAAATGTTCCCAGTTGACACTTTCATGAAATAAGCTAGAAGTATCATGTATTGCTTCACGGTTTGGATCCGCTGCACATGAAATCACAACCACTGTCTCCGTGCAGACAATCAGCATCTCGTGTAGGCTGCTGGAAAAGTTCAAACTATGATGAGGAGGCACAAAAGCATACCTGCAGTCAGAAGCAAAGAGGACATAACCCCAGAGAAGCTTATGGATGTCAGCCGTGAAAAAGTTCGAATCCAAATAGCTGGTAGCATGATCACAGTGCTTCCTATTATCACTGCATGCCTGCAACAGCAGATAGATATCAAACGTTACACGGGGAGATGTTGACATGCAGGCTAAGCTTTCCTACATAAAGTCCTTCAGAGATAAGCGATTCTGCCGTGAGAAAGCTACCTTGACGACAAGCACATAGAACCCAGGCACAGGATTTCCGAACGCAGAAGCATCTCAATAGACTGCCAGACAATAATCAAGCACATGCAGGATGCTCCAAAGAACTCTGCCAGCGCCATCACCATCACCTATCGTTTCCCACCATTTCTTGTCCGTGATCAGCTATCAGCTTACAGCTTTACGGGACTAAAGCTAAAATAATGCTGCACAAACTTACAAATTTATTGTTCCATGTGTAAAAGAAATTCACACAGAAAGAACGGTACATGAGAGCAATTACTACAATCATGTAGATATCGTTACACATCATCAAAGACTCGCAGTAATATAACAGTAGAATAGCTAGCACACTATGTCCCACATGATAATCTGGCCCTAAATTTAACTTGCAGCCTAAGTAGAGTCATGCAGTTGACATGTACCATCCAGTGACCCAGCTTTCCCATTGCTGTGGTACCCAAATTAGGGTATGATTGCACCATGGATCTGGGGACCTTATCGAATGACCAACATATTAGCTTTGCCGAGTGCGCAAAGATATAGCTCACCGCTGTCAACACCACCTACACATTGCAATTTAAACCATCAAGAAGACAGGCTTGCGAAGGCCGAGGTTAACCAATGCAGAGTATTTTTAGCGCTCAATGATGCTGAAAACAGTTGAGTAAGATTGAAGTGTAGACAGGTCAAGATAGAAGATTAGGTTTTGGATTGTACCAAGCTGATCCAACCACCGAGACGAAAGGCATAGCCCAAGCTCAGTAACCCTACGCCAACGTATAGGTTCACCTGTATCCAACTCAAAAAACTTCAGTGCTGTCTTTAGTGCACTAGTATTTCAAAAGAGAGGATGAATTCTGACAAGAATTGCATAATCTGTGAAGAGCTATAATGCTGAGGCCTGAAATAGACTCAAGGACAGCCTTAATTATGTAGCCAAGCATGAATTATTTGAGGGCTAAGAACTTACGATATTTAAGACGGTCTGAGCATCAGATTGTAGTACACCGACTGGACCATCGTCGAAAGACTCGAGCAATTCCAGTTTTGTAGTAGAAGGAGAGCATGATGTTCGACTGAATTTCTCCTTATCTCCAATCCAGTCTCCATGCTCCACGTCATTAGAAGTTCCTTCGTGGTCTTGCAGCAGTGGTTTTGTGGCGTTTTCCCCTGGAATTGTCGTCATATCTGCACCCGAAAAAACTGTATGAAAATGGGTGAAGCCACTCATAAACCTAACTCGTACTTCATCTGCTGAATCAACCCGGAATGAATCGCTAGATTAGTCAGAGCCACTCCATAGAATAAATTCTCAAAAGTCATCTGCTTAGAGTCAGGGACAACTTCATCTAGACACGATCTAATCCTAACCCGCCTCATTAGGGCAAATTTTCCTTCACTGCCTCGATAGAACAGCACATCTTCCCAGCAAATTTCCTCTCTAATTCTTTCATTACTCCAACTAAACTAGCTTACCCCTGAGAAAAAGAGCACAAGAACACAAGCTATTCACGCCGCAACAATTAATAATGATTGGCTACAGCTCCTTCAGGTGTGAACTTTCGCCTGTTGCAGACAGGATGCGCCACTGTCCTGCAATTCCATCATACGACAGGCCCACCCTCACATTTGACCACGACTCAATTGCACTCACTATGCGAAAAGGGGACAGCCTCACTGCGTCGTCGAATCAACGATGTAGATGCAACCTTCGCCAGCAATCCAACAAACCAACAGATTCAAGCACTACGGCCAAAGAGAGAATCGTGCATGACATTCACCACTTCACTCACTCATTCACCTTTACAAATGCACTCACCGCGTTAGGCTCCTCCTCCTCCTCGCTCTTCTTCCAATTAAACTCGCTCCTTAAAACCTCCAAAATCACACATACCTCTTGCACTGCAAACCTCCTCGCAGCCAGCTCTCGTCTCTCCTTTTCAGAGGCCCGCAATTTCCTTCTCTCCACCCAATCTCTCTCAACACGCACTGAATTGCGAACCACCCCACCTCCTCCTCCTCTACACTTTTTCTCTCCCCATCTCCACCATCTCCACTATCGCCCGCTTACGGACGAAAGCTTAACCTTCCTGCATCTTGTCTAGCTGTAGAGCTCAATCACGCAAAGTACTCCATCGTCCAGAAAGGTGATGGATGCGTGTTCACTGCCGCTTTGCAACGTTGCAGTCTATACAATACGTCCTCGACGATTTATATCATGCACGACAAGCACTGATTGATACGCAGGAGGTGTACAGGCAACGGAAGTCCACATCCAACACCACGTCGGGTTTAATCCTCTGAATCTGCTGCCGACAACGTCGTGCAAGGAATATGATGCCTACTGGGTAGTGAGGATCTATTACTTTTCGGTTTGACCATCGAGTGAAGCTGCGATGCTACAGCTTCTCTTGTTTCAAGCTGCTCCGCGAGATCCGTTTGAGTCCACTTCCGCTTGTGGTGACGATGAGTGCACAGTCCTGCACGATGGAGGTAAGTTTGATCGGTTCTGCACGGGACGTGTGCTTTTCTGTAGCTTATCATTTGATGTTAATGATGCTTTCACAAGTTCCAGTGGGCATCTTCCCATGCTGACAATATGAAACTTGGTGAAATTCGTAGTTTTTTGCCTTCTTCAGGCAGCCATGTGTAGAAGAAATACGACTTTTTCTATGAAGGTTTTTTTCATCATCCTGGTGGTGGTTAATGTTGGGCATTACTTCGAAACATAGAATTACATTGCAGGCTTTTAACACTTCCGCCATTGCTTCAATTCAAAAACGACGGTAGAATGCAGAGTTTTTACTGACTTGTAAAACTGCCTTGAAGTGAAAAATTAAATTTGTGGTTAAGAGATTCGAATGTTTTCGCAAATAATTATTCTAAGCGGTGAACGTCAGTACTTTTCAACATTCTCCCATTGAGTGAAAACAACGAGACAACCAAATCACGCTGGCTCTGAACCTCAGACATCTGACACCCTCTAGCTGTGCGTTCATCATGAGTGTCAACAATGAGAGCCACCTTCCAGGATCCTGACGGTCAGAGTATCATTCGTTTTAGCAGGCGAAGCATTACCGTGCCCGAAGGCAATATCGCAATTTCATTGCGAAGAAGAAACATGGTACAAATTGGGGAACATGTAACCCAGTCAAGTTGCCGAGTAAATCTTATTTGGATTCTCGGCTCATACAGCGACTAAATTAAGGCTGGCTCGAGGAGAAAGATGCCCAAACAAGATGGGTGCTGCTACGCTTGCACTTCAAGGCTTTTGTGGGTTTCTGAAGAGAGCTTCCCACCGGGCGGTATCCTTTCCTGGACCTTCTCCCTGTAGTTCCCCAAACATCAAGTCTTCTTCAGTCTCGAACTTGGTTACGGTAAATTTAATGCCGTGTATTCTAGATATTTTAAGAAGAAACAGAACTACACGCTTCTATAAAACCAACGGTGGGATATATAATTTTGGTGTACTAAGATGTTCAGAATAAGTATGAACAATAACAAGATTTATGGCAAATTTGAGTAAGAAATATTTACTGACCTCGACAGAGCTGATCTCATAGGTTTGTCCAATTGTACATGGGATATCTAGTGCTTGAATGCAAGCTTCCGCTACCACTACCCTACTTGCTTCCCCAACTAAATTATCACCTGCAGGAATCAAGCAGAGTGAAAGACATTTAGATTAATAAGAGAAGGATAGAAACATACATGTCTGCTGTGTTTGATCTGTGAGCGTACAGTTTGGGTGTGTTATGCACAAACAACAGCCCTTTTCTGTTGCTAACAATTCGCAGAGAGTCCATTACAAAGAAAAATAAATACCAGTTTGAGTAGGTTATGCACGCTACCTTGGCCTATAATCACATCACGACGAGTACCGGAAGTGGCTTTTAGCAATGTGTTTAGATCATAAGACGTGTAAGGTCCGTCCGTTAACCGACCTGGCCTGCACATAGAATGTTCAACACATAAATTTTGCAACTAAATTTTGCTATAGAATCTGCAGTTCAAAATACAAAATCTCGAGAAGTGCTAGTCAAAGAAGGCATATAACCCATTTTTTAGGGAAAAATAGCATTGGCTTAATATATGTGAGGGCAGGTTATACAAACCTGATGATAGTGTAAGGAAGCCCTGAGTCGCGTAAGAATTCCTCTCCCATCTTTTTGTATTTTAAAACTCCGAAAAGATTCATGATGCTAGAGCAAAAATCATCCCATTCCACCAAAAAACAATACAATTAAGTTCGGGAAAACTGTTGAATGTACATCTATTGAATTCACTACAGATAACACAGCATGGTATGCGCAAATATCATGTATACTGTACAAAATTAAGTTACTATGCAATACCGATGAAGTATCAACTCCTAGAGCAAAACGGTTTGGTTCCTTTCGAAGGGATTAATTCAAGATAGCTTCTTCTTCAAAACAAAGAGAATTCCGCTCTGTGATACAAGAAAAAATAGAGAGGAACAACTCGCGTGTACCAACCAACAAAACTTGAATACGAACATGTTCAGGTGGACCTAAAATGTGAAGAGAGAATATTGCTTGCTTTAAAAGAGTGTCCCTCACATGTACATGCACAAAGGTGACAGGAAGAAAGGGGTTGATGTTAACTCACTTCCATGGAAGCTCGTTGGATTTCGTAACTCCTATCGATGACACCAACACGACATGTTGGACGCTCTTTGGCACAGCTGCCACCAGGTTGCGCACTCCTTCCCAGTCTGCAGATAAGCTTTACAGTGAAACTTTGTCCAATATGTTTGATCAATTGAATGGCAAGCAAATAGAAGGTTGTTTCATATTTTATTTGCAACGCTCACCTCAATAACAGCTAGTCAGTGCAATATCAATTAGACAAGATTCATCATTTACTCATCAGAATCGGACATCATTAGCAATTAAGACAGGTAAAAGATGATAGCGAGAAATATGAGGACCTGTCTTTTCTGGTCCATTGTCACCATCCCAACGCTTAGAAGGAAACGCCGTAGTACCAGTGCAGCATATCACATGAGTTACACCCTCAAACATAGACGAGGGCATGGTTTCAGGTCGCCGTGTGTCTCCAACAAGCACCTGCAAAAACGGAAAGCGCTGTAAGTCATTAAAACAATTGAAGGCACGGATAATGATCTGCCATGCACACAAATAAGGGTAAGTTCTAAAACGGGCCAAAGCGAGCAGGAATAATTCTAGCTACGGAGAACACATATGCAGCATGCGAAAGTGTGTCAGTTCCAACCACATGGCACAGAGATTTCAGTACGTGTTTTGAAAGTAGGGAAGAAAATATATCGAAGAGATGACTTAGGTGAGATATAAGACTCTACTGAGACATACCTGAAAAGCCTCTGGATCATGCTGACCGAAGAGAGTTTGAGCTTTTTTTGCGTCACGAAGAACTGCTTTAACAGGTATGCCTCTATCCAGTAAAGCTGCCACTACCAGCTGCCCTGGAATTAAACGTCAAGAAACGACATTGTCAGCGCAATAAGTAGCAGCTGCCAATATCTTGTATTCATCTGATCGAGCCACAAAAACACAAAGTATGCATGACAGACTGAATCGTAGACATCTGCAGACTTTCACCACACGCTAACAGTGAATTTATGAGCGACGTGGAGACATGCACAAGAGGTGGAAGGGAACCAAGACAGATGAATTATCAATACTGTTATGCAGTTGTGATGAGGAAACTGGTTATGGCACCCTGGTTTGAATTGCAATGCTATGAATGTCATACCATTCGCAGACCTCAAAAAATCAATACAATCTGGTCATCAAATGGCTAGCAAAGTAAGTCGCCAACTTGGGTATGGAGCAAAGCTGCTGATCGTGCTAATTCTCGCACATTACGTGACTCTCGACTGTCACAATTCTCTGTTTTGTTTTGTTTTTTTTTGTGTTCTTTTAATTATCTCTCGTTTCTACAGCTGTCCATAAGTGCACACAGCGAGACAATACTGAGAAATACAACAATCCCGGCACTCTCGTTACCTCCACTTCCAGCTAGGGGATCGCACTGCACAGCACGGAATTACATCTTCGTGAAATCCTAATCCATAAAATCCAGCCTCGCAGAACGTTGTCAATGTGCTCTTTCAATGGTAGACTCGACCAAAAATTATGAGGTTGGGCACTTTCTAGGAGCTCCCGAGGCGCGAACAGTGAGTTGTTTCTGCAGAATTCATGTCCAGCTGCTGGCAGCTTCGTAATCAAATTCGTGGGAACCCAACCAAAAAATCGACTGAGGAAAGCCACGACGCACAAGAACACAGCAAGGTGCGCGAGGTGAGGGTAATGAGACGAGGGGAAATTCAGAGCCTACAGCCACAGCCATGGCCAACCAATCCCAAGGGTCGCGTGAAAGAACTCACCTACACCTCCGGTTGCGCCAACAACGAGGATACACTTCGACGCGGCGGCTTTAGATTGATCTCCATCCACAAGCTGGTTGGGATCCGCAAGCTGGGCACACACTCCCCTGCTCCCTCTCACATGCTTCACGCCACGAATCCCACTCCTGCCACACACCTGCAGCTCGGATTGAAGCAACTTAACACTAGAAAATTGCAATGCTCGTCCTACAGCCACTTTACTATGATGGGTATTGCCCGTCTGTGCGCTGCCTCGAGTAGACGCCAACGAAAACGTGCGACAATTCGCCACAGGCGAGGCATATGCACCCACTTCCATTTTTCACCCAATTCAGTCCCGCTTGTTTGAGCAGTTGGATCTTTGTGCAGCAACGTAACTTGGAGGCTTCTCGCTACGCAGCTCCGAGCACCGCGAATTTACAAAGCGAGGAAGTGTGGTGTGAGAAGAAAGCAAGAATGGGGATGTGTGGACTGAGGAAGAGCGCCATTCGGATAATTGCGGGAGCGATGGCGGAGTGCACGATTGCTTTTCCAGGCTCCAGGTGTGATTGTGAGGATGAGGATGAGATTATTCGAGCTTTTTCGCCGCAAACGCATTTCTCCTGTAATTGTAAGTGTGTGTGTTTGTGTGTGTTCTTGTTTTCAAGCTTTGAGATACCCAGTCTTCAATTTTATCAGCAATTTTTCCCATTGGTTTTGGTCTTTCTCTCAATTCTGAGCTTGACTACTGTTGTGTGTTGTTGTTGCTCCTTGTTTTTGCTAGTTAGTAGCTATTAGGTGGTAGTTTTTGTTTTTGTTTGTGGCTGTCAATATTGTCATTTTACTTGTTCTATTTTATTTTATTTCATTATTATCAGTACTATTATTATTATTATTATTATTATTTTTTATTATAGCTTTGTTCAATTTCAATTTGGTTTTTTCTGACACAGTTGTAAATTGCTTACTATTTTTTGCTTATTTTGTTTGTGTTTTTTACTAATTTTGGTTGTTTCATAGATCATTCTTGGTTTTGTTCATGTATGGCATGATTACTTGTTTTTCTTGTCATGATTTTTTTGCTATTAGTTGTATCATTGTGCAGTCATTTGTAAAGTATGGTTGTATTAGCATCTTGGCTATTCTTGCCTAAACTATTGAAATCGTTAATAAAAATTTATTTTAATTTAGTTTTAACAATAAAAAAACATTAGGATTTATTTTATTATTTTTTTTGATACAAAAAAAACATTTATCTATTGCATTGATAGAATGAAACATAATACAAAATACTAAGTTTAGTTCCTAATACCTATTAAGGTGGAGTTAAGAGTATTTGGTGAAGTAATTGGTATTATTTTCTACTTTATACTTTTGTGTATAATTGAGCCACATTGTGGCATTTTAAAGTTCTATTTCATTGTCTTATAAAATCTAGTGCCAATTAGGTGTTTTTCTATCTATGATTTGTCCCATTTCTTAAGAAGAATAGTCTCATGTTTGGAATGTTTGTTTGTTTGTTTGTTTGTTTGTTTGTTTGTTTTTTTTTTTTTTTTTAAATTTCTTCTTCATGGCTTTCCAACAAATTTGTCCATATTTTATTAGACTCCTTCATATGATACTTCTTGTATAGAGGTCAATCTATATCTCCTTTTCAAAGACATTTGTTTCTTTGAATATATATGGTCTACAAGCAAAGTCCTCTTAACAATGATAAGATCTTACAGAGACATTTAAATCATGAAAGAATATTTTATTCAAAAATGGCATGATTCCATGTAAATGCTTTCTAAGGTCTCTATTTCTAAGGATTGAATATGAATTTATATGAAAGTGAGGTGGTCAAATTTCAGATTTTACAATCTTGATGACATACCAAAATTTATGTATGAAGCTTTTTCCAAATAAATGTTGAAAAGTAGAATATCTTATTCTCTCCACGTATTAACAACTATACCTTTGTAGTATACAAGGTAGATAAATAATGCTTCTTTTTGGAAGTAAGATTTGGACCAAATATCATTCTACTTAAAAGAGAAGTCATGTTCTAATAGGATACTTTATTTGTTTATTACTAAATTTGTAGTATGAGTATTTCATTGAAGTAACTTCTTCCCAAGTTTGGCTACATATGACATGAATACTTTTCTTGTTATTTAAGAGTAAGTTTTAGGAACAAATGTCAACTCACAAATCAAACCATAGAATGGATTAATGCATTTTTTTCCCTCTTATTAAAGTTGTATTTGATGCCATTCTAATAATCTTAAAAAACCAGCTACAAGATTCACATTTTTATAGAGATATAAGTTCTCTTTATTTAAAGAAAGATTTTTGTTGTAGCAGAGGATTTTGATTTGGATGTTGAAATAATTTTTTTTATTTTATTTTAGTGAATTGCAATAGAAAAAATATTTGTCTTTTTTAACTCTTTTGTACTGAGTAAGAAGTTAGAAGATTACTTCATGCAATTGGTTCTCCTCTATAATATATAAATCAATCTAATTATGAAATTTAAGTAGAGCTTTACTTTCTTGAAGCATGATATTTTATATTAAAGAAAAAAAATAGTATAAAAAATCTAAATTTAATCAATGACATTAGCAAGTTGGTATTTAGATCTATTTTTTTTAATAAAAAGAGATTATTTTTTGTCTTTGAAAAGATTCTTATTCTTTAAAGGCCATTGGTATGTAGAGTTGTTGCTTGTTTAAAGTTTAAGTAGAAGTTAATAAGTAGGAAATTAAGATTTTATCATAAAAATCTATTAAAGACTTCAAAAAAACAAGCTTGGAAGATTAAGCCTTAGAAATGAGCATTTTTGTCCAAAATTTTTTAATTTTGTTTTAGATTTTTGAGCTAAGACTTTATTTGCAGTTTGGAATTAAAGTTCAAGCATAGTCTGGTAACCATTGTTTTTAAGTACTTGGTTTGGCATTCATCATTTTTTATTTGAAGAATTGTTGAATGTTGGTGTGTAAAGGTTGTAGGGCCTTACAATCCATTTAGTTAAGAATACTTTGATAGTAACTTTTGGATCAATTATATTAAGGCCACATACAACTCAAGCCTTACAATAAATTGATTGGACTATCTGAGAACAAATCAAGAAGGAAGTACTTTCTTATAAAAAGTTTGTAACTATGGAATTTATTTTGCAAATTGTTTTTAAAAAATTACTCCAAAATCTACAAAGAAATACAATGATGATAGCAAGATGCTATTGACTATAATAATCCTACTAATCATATTAATTTTAATAGAATAATAATATCCTAACTCATGTATCATTCTATTAATAAAAGAAATTTATTAATATCTTATATATGTAAGTAAAAGCCAAAAAATGTGGCTAGTGACTTAAAAATATTATTAGAAGAGACTTACATCTATCCAAAATTATTAATTCAAGTTGATCTAATATAGATATTAGGTGTGATAAAAATAAAATAGTTATATTATAAAAGATCTTATTTTAGTAAATAGTAGAAAATTACTTTAAAAACATAGATAAAAATTAAAGAGGTAGTAAAAATAATTTAATTCTGATATTGTTTTTTTTAATAAAAATATATTTTGTTTAATTTGTAGAAATATAAATAATAAAAAATAAAGTAGATTAAAAAAAATTATAAGCATTTTAGGGTAAAAATAAAGAGTAATTTTTAGCAAAAATTATCTAAAAAAACCTTAGATTGACATTTAAAAAGGATCAATTGTGAACCAATGTCAAATTCAAAACCTAAGATACAAAACTATACATGAATAGCAAATAAGAGGTTCTTTTGTTGATTGGAGAATGAGGTCAAAAAGAAAACTTCATAGTATTTTTATAAACATTGGTTTTTAGGGATTTGAATTTGCAATGACTATGTAAGAGCTTTATAAAGTTCTAATTCTTTTGAGTGATTTTTTTTTTTTTTTTTTTTTTTTTTTTTGTAGAATAAAAAAGAGCTTATATTTTGATAAATTGTGTGAATACTACAGGAAATGAAATTTTGTGAAAATGAAAATGTAGCTGTGTTGGATATGTATTATGAAAATGAACTTAATTTAACAAAATAATATATAACATCAATCGCGGTGAAGAAGCATTTTCCATTTCAAATATCTGTATAAGCCTTATATATTTGCTTAGTACCAATGGAACATCTTCAACTTAGAGAAATCTAGTCTAATCATTCAGACTATGGGATGGTGCCAAGTAATTGAGATTCAAATGAGAAAGGATCTTAGATATTGGATTTTGAATATTAGTAAGGATTTTTACAATTTTGAATTATTTTTTTTTGTTTCTATGTGTGTGTTGATAGCTAGTTTAATTAATAATATTTATGCTAACTTTGTAAGTAAGAGGATGGTTCAAAAGGAAGCTATTGATATTGGAAGGTTGATATTACAATTGAAGAGGATGGCCAATATCTAATCAAATTAGGGGTATTTTCTCCTAATTAATAAGTTTAATTCATGTAGAATTTTGTATGATTTTTTTTGATTATTAAATTAAAAAACATAAGAATTTTGTATCAATAAAAAAATTAAATTAAAAATAATTAATATTTAAAATTTTCTATAAATATTTTCAGAATTTATTTAAGAATTGATTAGGATTCTATTAGAATCTGTAAGGGATTTAATTAAAAGTTTGATTTAGATTTTTTAGGATTTTGTTAAGATTTTTTTAGGATTCTTTCAGAATATAATTAAGTTTCAATTAAAATTAATTAATTTTTTTTTAGAATTTCTTTATGTTTTTTTTTAGAAGTTCTTGTGATTTTTTTAGATTTAATTAGGATTTTTTTAAAGATTATTTAAGATTTATTTGAAATTAAATAGAATTTAATAATATTTTTTAGATTTTTTAAGATTACCAAAAAGATATTTTTAAATAATTTATGCATTATATTTTAGGTTTTAAATCCAATTTTAAGATAAGCTCAAATCTATCTACAATTAGACGCCTAATGTATTTCAAAGTCGATTTTAATATAATATAACAATTGTTTTTTTAAAATTCTTAGTATAAGGCATATTTGGACCAATTAGTTTCTAAATCCAATGCCAAATTGAATTTATTGAAGAATTTTATTAATTTTTCAACATTTTTATCTTTCAATTTGATGGAGATAATAGAATCATCTATATATTGGCATATGACCTTCTAGTCAAAGCTCAAAAGAATATTATTGCCATAAAACTTGTATTCTTTGATCATATTTTAAATTATTATATGAAGGTATTTTTTAATAATAAAAAGGTATAGATTTAAGAAACAACCTTGATATATACTTCTTTTGATTTATTTTTTTTTGTGAAGGATACATAAATATTTAATAAAGTACTTGCACATCAAAAAATAATTTTAAACATATGATAGAACTTAGTATTAAATCTAATTTTTTTTAGAACATGAAATAAGAAATCATAAGAAATTTTATTTTATTATTTTAAAAAATTAATTTTTAGAATTAAAAAAGAATTGATTTCAGAATTTAGTCAAATTTATAATTTCTTATGTCATTAGAATATTATCCAAAATGTGCCACAGGAGAAAAAAT